GCGTGACAACCATGGGCCACGAGGTGGACCATCGTTGTCCACCTTTTTATTTTCTTTTTATTCAATTTTTATTTTATTACTTTTTTTCAATTTTTTTTTTTTTCAATTTTAATTTTTTTTTTTCAATTATTTTTATGTTTTTTCACAACTATTTTTTTATTTTCGGTTTTTTATTTCATTTTCAATTTTACGCGTGACAACGATGGGCCATTATAGCAGTGCGTATTCAATACTCATCCGTTTTTATGTATAATCTCATCACCGATCAGTAGATCGCGAGCTTTTTTGAGGATTTTACTGGATGGCAGGTTGGCCTTCTTATCGAACATAAAGGATAGTTCTACATATTTATCAAGAGTAAGAGAAAAACCGATGAGACGGATTATTCATATAGCACACGGCTGTCGTCTAGTTACCATGTCGGGTTTCTGATTAGTTAGCCAGTCATTTCTTTTGAATGATCTTTGTCTTGTTGTAACGGAAAACCGAAATAAAATTCACTTTTACCCGAAATTCTATTTTATTGTTATTCACTTTTTGACATTTCATCTAGTCTGGATGTTCACGCATTTGAGCAGTGATCTTATGTTTGCAAATGTACCTTATGCGTTCAGGAGGATAAAAGATGCAATTCATTATTATTCTGAGATTAATTAGGTATTGCAACTGTTCTAAATGCTTTTATTTACCACATCATTATACTTCGCCCATTCATACTATATGGTCCCACCACTTTATGGCGCTGTATTTGAGCCTAAATTTTGATTTCATTGTTATGTATATGTTTATTTGATGTTGTGTTGTCTCTATTTATATATATTGTCTTATCTTATAAACTCCCCTGTATAAACAGTTTTGTATACTCCCCCCTCACCACTTCCACCACACCAAACGACCCATTGCCCCACCTTGCACAACTGTCTATATAAGCAATGACATTAAACAACATGATGCGCAACTCCGGCATTTTTGTCCGAAGATCGTATTCGATAGCACGCTCCAATGCACATACTTGACGAGACGAAAACGAGCGGATGTGTGCTGCTTTCAAGGCGTAGCACGAATGGTGTTCGTGCCTGCTTTGACAGTTGTTGTCGATTTTAATGATATTTTTGAAAGTTGGGGTAAAAAGAAATCGGCAAAAGGTAAGGTGAATACTATTGTTGTATATCACACCCGTGCATCGCACTGTTAAGTACATGTGGGAAAGCCAGCCTTTGTCAAATACTACGAAGTTATTAATTCAGTACGGTACGTAGTTGCCCATTTGCCGAAATTACATATTTACTTACCCCTTATGGTTTCAAATAGTTCATGCACCTCCAGTTAGATTTTTTTAATCAGTGAGGATATATACTCATTGTTGATTGCTGCTCATTGTAACATACTATTACGCATTCACTTTTATTTGCGTATTGAATCAAAGTGTTAACAAGTTCACCTAACATTTCACTCATACCGGTCTATATTGTATAGTCTGATTTCTCAAGTATTTGGAGCCACGAATGCTTGTAATTTTCTGATTAAACCCTTTTATTAGTTGGTTTATATACCAAATTAGTAAAATATTTTTTAAATAAAACATGAGATATTGGATTTATTAGCTTTTCCATTCTGAATCATATAGACTGCTTTATTTATTCTTAACGAAAATTAATAAATCTCCTCTCTCTCTTCAGATGTGAAAGTTGTGGACAAACCTGTCTAAGCATTGTGAGACTCTTGCAGCACAAGAGGCAATAGCAGAAATAGTAAGTATATCAATCAAGAAATTAAGCCGACAGAAAGCAAAAGTTTCAACTATTCGTCTAATCTCAATTTCCTATTATTTATTCACAGGACAACTATAGCAGACGGGGAGATATCAGAAGTTTGGCGACATATCAGTGACAGTGTGATTCCAAGAAATATAATGCAATTGAAAATAGAAAATTGCAATAGAAAAACAACCTATGGAGGCATGCAAAGACGTTTGACCCTCCGGTAGAGTTGTGTATGGCCCCCACATCCTGCAGGGCTTGAGGAAAATAACTAAAAATTCCAAAGCGTAAGATTGCATAAGCGGTCTTATTTGTAAAAAGGCACAAAACACGCCAGACATACTTAAAACAGCTTTGGAAATGAGGATTACGGGTACCTCACTGCACCTGTGTTATATTTGGTTCATCAACTTTTGGTAGTACTATAGAAGAAATTCCGGAAGGGGTATAATCATCATTCATGATAAAATACTATCATATATTTTTTGAACAACTTCAATCTAGACCAGGGATCTCAAACTCGCGGCCCCAGAGAACTTCCAGTGCGGCACTCGAACGCTTAACAATAATTGTAATAGTATTTTGGAAGTTTTTTTTTATCTAAATGTAATAGATTTTTCAAACCTTCTAAAGTGAAATTGATTATTCACACAGAAAACAATTTACTGAAAGTGGTTTTGGAATATTAATTTTTTTTGTCCACATTTTGACCCAATTAAGAATACACATCAAGCTAGCAAAAGAATACTTGAATAAAACACTTGAGTAATTAAATTAAACGCAAAGTACATGAAGAAGGTGGCATTTTCGAAGAAAATGGGAGTTGTAACATTTCTGCTCTTCACAAAATTCTGAAGCACATTGTTTAATTTGTCATATTTCCATCAATACAATCAAAAAACACAATAAGCTCAGCAGTCAATATGACAAATTCGAAGACCAACTTCGAACAGAAAATTTCCATGTGTTTGTATATTAATATAATTATACAACGACTTAGTTACTAAAAATCAATATCAATAATAATTCAAGCAATCCTATGCCACGCAATGTAGTGCGAAATGTCTTGTCGAAAAAATCTGTCATTTGTTTTTTTACTGATCTATACATGAAATGATAAAAGTAACTTTTTTGCATTACTGGAATTAATTAAACATTCGTAAAGATCCAGATAAACCCATGATCATGTGGCCTCGTTAGTTAGAGTTGGTACTATAAAATCATTTCAGACTGGCCTTAGTATGCTGGTGACACAAAAAAGATGCCAAACGCCAGGACAAATGTAATTATTAAAACATTGAGTTTATACTGTAGTATTTTTGTTAATTTTAGGTTCATATATTTAGATTAAGTTATTTTTAGTGTATGTATTATTCTTTCCTTATTCAAAGCTTGTTCAAAAATGATTTTGATGGTTGTACATAGAATTTTACGATTTTTTATAATAAATACTGTAACTTGCAAATGTTGCAATAATAGTGGAATGCAAATATTAATATGTAATTGCATTTGAAATTGAAGAAAATAATAAAACTTAATCCAACTTAGTTTAGTTGCATCACAATATATGTCACAAACTAAAACTATCTTAAAAATATCTTTTAAGTATACATTATCAAAAACTGTTTGCGGCTCTTTTTACAATTTTCAAAATGCAATGCGGCTCTCGAAAACCCATGAGTTTGACACCACTGATCTATTCTAGACGATTCAAGCATTGCTTTGGGAAATTATATCACTTCAATTAAATTGAAATAATCTCGCTATATTAAATACAAAATCGTTGCTATCATAAAGGTAAACCAATTCAGCCACTCGAAATATATTGGCCTTCACAAAGCAATGGAGGCAAACTTGAGAGTTCATGAGCTATGAACATTTGTTCTTTTCTTTGTCTTGAACTTTCCATACTCCACAGCCACTATTAATTTTTTTTAATTTTAATTACCATGTGATGGTCATACATATCTTTAACTTGTATTTTCTGTCATGATGTATTATCTCAATGTGCCAAACTATTAATTAGTGTGCATATTTTGCTTCCAGATGACATAAATGTATTGTCATGTTTATTACCTCAGCTTGGAGTATTGACAAGAAAAAGGTGCCAGTAAATTAGGTAAAAAAATTTTCAACTCATTGTTATAATCAGAATTCACAATCAATAGGAATTATAAACAGCCAACAATCAGTGAGAATTATATGCGAAATCCCTCAGAATAAATTTGTCTAAAATCGGAGGAAGGCAAAAAATATAGGTAGTTTCCATCCACACAAGCATTTCAAGAAGACTTGCTCGAGCCAAACTAAATGAGCATCGTCAGGTGATCGGTAAGGCTGCAAGTTGAATTCAGCCCTGCAACCTTCTGCATAGAAGATAATATTAATTAGTGGGCTATGAGCTAAATTCCTAAATTTAAACAAACTTATCTACGATGCATTATGTACCAGCAATGTTACCTACGATTAACTGAATATGTAATATGTCTAATAAATTCACCTACAAAAGCAAGTTCGATAGGTGCAAACTTTGTGTTATGGAATTGTATCGCAGCACAGTTTTGTATGACACCCTCTTTAAATGAAATTTCAATGATTAAGCGCAAACATTAAAATTACTAACTTTGAACTTTGTCATTATCTGCAAAATGTTCCACACAAATCTTTCCGCTATCGCGTTTGTAATCTTCTCTGATAAAAAAAAAACGTCTATGATGTCCAGAATTGCTCTTTACAGCTTGCCTGTTATTCCAAGTAAGCAAAACTTCTTAGATATAGAGATTATTTTGTTTCGTTACAGGCGCAAAAAGGCAGGTACTACACGTAAAAAAGACGCCGAGATGCAAAAGCGAGCGGAAAACGGACGCGAAAGGCGACGAGAAATATGTGCATTGGAGCGTATCATGAAATACAATGTCTTGCCTGTAGTCTTATGGAGTGACGTCAGAGTTGCCTATCATGTTGTTTAAAGGGACCATATTATACATATTTAATCTAATGTTTTTTGTTTTATATTTGTTAAAAAAGGGTGCATGCCGCACATTTGTGTTTTAAGCCAGTACGGTCTTGTGCATGCATCCCGTCTTAAATAATAATAATAATTGTTCATTTATTTATTTATCACTATTACGAGACGAATAAACATACATACATACATACATACATCATCATTCAATTTTGATGATTGGCTAGCGTGATTGAAATTCCTGTGATTTAAATGTAGAACCCTAGTGTTTTAGGTCAGCTTGACTTTGCTATGTAAACATTTAATAACTTTACTCACGATGACTTTTAATTTATTGAAACTGAAGAAGAATGTGTGTTCATTTAGGCGTGACATCAGCTGTTTTCAATCTTAAACATTTGCTTTTTCCAAGTTATTGATCATCCAGCGCGTGCGACTGCAGCTTCGCGTGTCTGTCTGACCGTCGTTCGGTCGTATTTCAGTATTTACTCTGAGATATTACCACTATAAAGATGATACCGTTGTCCGAGTTTATCGACAGGGATTATGCATATATCGCTGTAGTAGCTGTATCCATATTTTTGGGAGGATTCACTAGAAAAATAAAGAATGTCGAGACCAAAAAACTTTTCACTTTCCTCGTCGGATTTACGATCGTCAGCGCTTTCTGTGGAGCAGAGGTTTTGCATTCGTTGATAACTATCATAATAGGCACCTTGCTTATTAAACAATGCTCGAATAGGTGAGGAAATTTATCTTTAATTTTGAATATTGTTGTTCCACGTACGTCAGACCGTAATGACGTATAGCTGTGTAGAGTGTTTTAACCAAATACCGGTATCGTGACATCTTGGAATCAGAGAACTGTGCCCTACTGCAGGGGTCAGTAACCTTTTGTTGCTCGCGGGCCAAAATTATGGATTGCAAATCTTGGCGGGCCGCATATATTTTTTTAAGAAAGTTAAAAAATTTACAAATGATATTTAATGTGACACTTGTTGTTGCATTACGCTAGATAGCTTTTCGGCATCAGGTGACATACCGTACTGGATGAAACCAACAATAGAACATTTTCTAAATTGGCATCACTAACTTTAGTTATCCCCTTGTTCTTTGTAATGTTAAATTAGGGTTAAAATTATCCAACGCTGTTTTGCACTAAATTTCACTGAAGCATTGTGTGTCGGATTATTTCACTCAGCGAGTCGGACATGGCCCACGGGCCGTAGGTTGCCCACTTCTGCCATACTGTATATAGAAGGTTGTCCATTATAAAATTATCTGTTCTAGGGCAAAGAATATATAACAACTTGTCTAATCATTTGTCCGATAATCCAATTAAATAATCACATGCCAATTTCAACAATGTGAATGATAAGTGAATCACATTGATACACATAAAAGTAATTATCCATCTCTTTTTTTTTTTTATTTTTCAGGAGCATGCCAAAAATGGTTTTCCTTTTCTCATTTCTATATCGAATATTCTTCTGTTTGTCTTCGTTCTTTACTTCATGGAGAGACGACAGAAATTTAGCAAATGGGATTCAGCTAGTTTTAACTATAAAGGTAATTATAAGTGATTATAATAATGTTTGTGCTTTTATACTTGATAATAATTTGGAATATTTGACCTTTTTTTGGACTTCTACCAAAAACTACCGTAATTATTGAAAAAATTACTTTTGGGTCGAGTGGTTAAATCATTACACTTGAGTGATCCAGATCCTTTTAAATTGTTGTAGCTGCTTACCTAGCAGTGTCTACTTATACAGAGTAAAAGACGTATAAATAAACCCATACGTCAGCAGTTCTCAAAATGGCGATTTGCAGAGTGTGCCCACTGCCCAGAGTCGTGTTAAACATAACTAATGTATGATTGAATATTTTACATATTGTATTTATTATAAATGTATTATTGTTTCTCATTTCAAATGATGTGTAGGCTATATAAATCAATAAATTCATTTTACTTTTTTATGTCAGATACCTGTTACGTAGTGTCTGCCTCTACTGTTTCGAAACAATAGAGGTAGACTCTACTTGCTGCAATTTCTCAAGCTGCAGTTTATTTATTATCGGCTAAACAGAGTTTAGCAAACATAAGTGATTTTTTCAGTATTCCAGAGGAAATCAGGCAGAGATGAGGAAGAAGAGTTGACATTGCCTTCGTTTATTAGGCCTACGTGTTTACAAAGCATAAAATACACATTAACGATCACAAAATTATGCTTCATTCAAAAGCAAGGGCTGTGAGTTTTTTCCCTGATAATTTGGCGCCGCACAAACAAAAAGTTTGGGAACCACTGTCATTCGTCATGAAATGAATAAACCCGCTAGAAAATTTTGAGTCGAACCAAATCTCCTAATAATCAATTTCAATTCCTTTCAGATGATTTGCGTTGCATATGAGGTCGATGATTTTCGAAGAAGACAAGCAAATGAAAACGCCCATGCTAATGGTCATTCTAATGGCGTCGGAAATGGATTCTCTAATAATCACAACAATATTACTACAATGGACAAACACAAAACATTCCCATTGAATGAGGAGCCATCATTTTTCGATATTATCTGCTACATGTACTGCTTCTTGGGCATCGGAACAGGTATAATATCTTTCTGAATAATCAGTTTTTGTATAGGTTTGCTCAAATGTATTTTGCTTGTGTAGAAAGAGAATTTTTGAATTATTGTTCTGCAATATATTTTTTATAATGAATACCGATAAATTAAACGTGTCATTTCACAATCAAGTTGATAATAAATGAAGCACAACCGGTGTTAGCAAAACGATGTAATTTGCCGACGTTACATCGTTTTGCTAACACCGGTTGTGCTTCATTTATTATCAACATGAGTTTACCGGGTGGCAATCACGCACTATTTCACAATCAAGTTAAGGGGTTGTATGATGTCGTAACTATCAGTTAGAGTTGCGTCACTCATACTAACTCTCTTTTTTATCCTATGCCTTACACAAGTGGATCTGTATGCACATAAACTGTATAAACAAATTTATGTGAATCATGATTATTTTTCCTAAGTGATTCAAGAGTCTTGCTGCACACTAACACGAATATATTTCTGTAACGTTTCGTCTGACCAAGGTTAGACTTCTTCAGACATACATAATTCAACTATAACAAGAAAAGCGGTTACATACATATTTAAACAATCAGTATAAGAGTATGGGAGTTACGCAAGTTCAATAATCAATAAAATTAGTGAATTCTTGATTAAATAACAGGGGTGACTGAAATGAGATGACAATGATGAGATCTCTCTCTTTGTTTTATATTAAACAATTGAAGTCCAAATTAAACAATGGTGTTTTGTGTTTCTCAGCATTGGATGATGCTAACCAGAAAAGTCGTTTTTAAGTCAATTATAATATATTGATTGTTTGTCTGTTGACGACATATCTGGCATGCATGATCCCACCCTGAGAATAACATTAAATATTTTTGGGAGGATCAGAATCTTTCTTTTTCAGCATTGCATACCCGATTTATTGTTATTACCCGATTGTTCGTAGTGACAGTGTGATTACCTCATTCAATAATTAGACTTATTTTAATTATTATTTATAACTTCTTTTTCAGGTCCATTTTATCGTTATCGCACTTATCATGATATGATCTTTCTGCCTCAACATATATCGAAGCCTCTACCTGCTGTTGATCACATTATCTCTCGTCTGAGTATATTAACGATGCTTATCATTGTTTCTGTTGGTGGTGGAATGTTATTTGGAGTCAAAGAAATGAAATCTGATGAATTTTATGAGAGATCATTTTTTTATAGGTTGGTATGTTGAAACTAGACGGTATTATCCACATAGTTAGATATTCCTATTTTATGTGCTCTTTATTTTACGCTTTTCGCTCCAAACATGGCCCTGTGCTAATTGCCACTGATTTGCATGAATCTAATGTTTTCAGGAGCGTTAAAATCTACTGGTTTGGCATGTACTCCACTACCATTCAGGAGTTTTCTGTTCATATCGACTCTTGTAAAACAGCGTTTGCTGTTGCTTGATGCTCTACCAGTGGTTTCTGTGGCTGTCTGTTTCCAGCCATTAGTCTTCCTTACCTTTTGAGTGACTCCGCCTTGAGCAAACTTTCTTGAAAGAAATGAATAATCTTTAATAATATATGCAGAGAGGAATTCAAAATTGGCAAATGTCATAAAAGAATTATACTTATTTCATAGAATATCTGTCATTAAAATAATATTTCTGGCATGTCTGCTAAAGTTTTCACTGTATTATCTGCTTTTGAGCCAATTTAAAGGATTAAAGTATTTGATATTTTAAGTTGAAGTTCAGTGTCTAGGCATATAAATGAGTCACACTGTTTAGCACGTAACAACAAGTTAACAACATTATCAATTGCCTGCTCAAACCAGACAGGAAATGTTTGCTTGCTAGTTTGCTGAATATATGCCATGTATTTCCTTTATGGTCGGCAAAAAGAGATTTTTCCGAGTAGGTTGAACAATGTAGGAAGCTTTGAATTTACATTTCCAACTACAGTTGTATGAGGTGTTGTGCATGTTTGGACATTGGCCTTGTTTGGCGTGAATAGGCGTTATTGTTAATTTTGTTTAAAGTAGGATAAAAATATTGTACATGATTCAATATTACCCCAGCTGAAAAAAAATTAATGCTCTCCAAGATAATTTCAAAGAATTTCAGTTACCGGTATGTGGAATTCTCTACTTATATAAGCTGTTTTCTTGATTGTATCAACATGGACTGTCTTGCGTCTTTCAAATAAGTTATAGTTCAATCTCAACTCTCAGTGGCTTTTGGCATTTCAGTAGTCACTTGAAACCTCACTCAGGGAAATCCCCTCAATTTCTGAGTGAGTAGGTGTGACTTGTGTCGGGCAAGAAAAAGAAGATTTAATAACACTCCTATAAATGGTTTAATATTTACAAATGATATTATTTTATTTCAGATTTTTTTATGTCCTACCAATCGGAGCCATAGGAATGTCAAGATATGGAGTAATTTGGTTTTTATCTGAATTTGGATTTGCCATGTCTGGTCTTGGTGTTTACCCAGAGTCTATGAAGCCAGAGCCAGGTAGAGGACCAACAAATTTTCATGATGGAAATGATGACATGTAAGTCAATGAATAAGCTTTTTCCGTTCAAAAGCGTCATCAGTTACCTACACAATTATATCATCATTTTTTGATTGTGATGGACTCAAAAATTAGCATTTCATGAGCAACAAATAAATTTGGCGAATCAATTTGATTCACCTTATTTTGATAAATGAGCAATCTCATATTTAATAAAATACATTTCAGCCATCTTTATATCTGTTGTTTAGCTGGTATAATTATTGCCTTGTGTGTATGAGATGGATGTATGCGCTATTTAAAGAATTACAAAAAACGTCATTTTTGAATTTCTGAACTATGGTAACTTTCTATAGTAATACTTCAGCTCAAAAGGGGAATCTATTTGTTCATAATATCTCCAAAGAATGTGATAAACATGTATTGACCGATATTTATATATACACAGCTTATCATATTCTTATCTGTCGTAAACCATTAATCTGTGAATTCAATTTTGAACAAATTTATTTATCGCCATATTTAAACCGCATGATTATTCTTACCACGTCATTGTTGTAAACTGCTTGTCTGATTTTTGTCAGACGAAACTTTGCTGAAATACATTTGTGTTAGTGTGCTGGACTCTTGTATAGCAATCATATATATGGTATATATATTTACATAAACCTAAATCAAAATTTTCGAATATGTTTACCACTAACCACAAACAGTCTGGCCATCCTAAAGCTCCTATATTTGGCATTTGTGTTTCACTAGATAAAATGGCATTCAAGACGATGGTGAATAAAGTTTTCACCTTCTGTACTCTCGTAGTGTGTGTATCATGTAAGAGTTAGTTTTTATTCCGATTTTCTTTATTTTAGATCTATTACGAGTTCGGGGACTGTCTGTGTTAGCCAAGTGAATATTCCCTTGTGCATAGGTTTCAGTCCCTTCACACAACTTGATGTAAAATAGGAGAACAAAATTAGTTACCTCCATACTTCACACATTACACACATACTTCCGAAGCGAGAAGTTTTTTATCGTTTTGATAACTCTAATTTTTAATTACTCTTTTATAATTACAGATGGGGCAAAAAAATTGCCAGAGGACTACGGTATAGTTTTGAATCAACCAGAAATGTGTATATTGTACAAGGTTTAACTGCCAAAACGTACGCTAAAACATTTCGATGGTGGAATTGTACAGTGCAATGGTGGTTGGCACATTTCATTTATGCGAGCAAATTATTCTCTGGGAAACCAGTGTTTATAAGGTATGAAAATAGAAATTGAAAGGCTGAAAGCTAGGTTGGATCTATGTGAGACGCGTGAACCGCCACCATTTTCAATATTACTCACTATTAAAATGACCATTCATTTTCATAAAGTATGCTAAATCTTGTCTAACACGCTTCATTTCAATTTACACAATATTTCATGAAATTTTAGTTTTCCTTTTGTTCGCAAAGTTCAGTATCGATAGTGTGGCACAGGATTGGCTTGGGTAAATGCTTGTAGGACGGCCTTTCTAAAAGTTAGTTTGTTTGATTATTAATTACGCTTTATATAATTCTCAATTTTTCGACATATCTGGAAATGAATGTGCGTAAATTAAGTGTAAGGAAATGACAGCAACTGTGCAAGAATGTCGCAACAATGAGCACCACTCGCTCGCATAGAAGATAACAAACAATTGAAATGCTGATTCTATTTATTCGTCATGACAACATGTGACAAAGAGCAAAAAACTGGAGAGGAGATTTTCCTCGGAAACGAAACACCTTGCTGACGGCGAAAATGGCCATTATTAGCTGAATAATTCCAATACTTTGATATACGATTAGTTTTGGACAACCCTGCTGATTTGTTCAGAAAATTCATTGCTTTATCCTTCAAATAACTTTTTTAATAAAAAACTCCACTAATTAATCGACAAAAAAACTAAATGAACTAACTAATTCATCCACAACATTTTATGTTTAAAAAATGAAATCTATAATTTGTGTAGGAACACTGTATTGTTTACATATGTGGAGTACACACAACAGAACAATATTCCCATTTTTTTCTACTAATTTACTATTTGTATTACAGATGGTTAGCAGTTGCTATTGTGTCTGCAGTATGGCATGGATTCAAGGCAGGATATTACTTCTCTTTTGTTGGAATGACATATGTAGCATTTGCGGAATTCTTATTGCTGAGTCAAGTTGGGGCAAGACTGAACAAGAATGCCAGAGTGGTATTTGATTTGTAAGTCGACATACTTGAATTGAAGGTTTAAAAAAACATATATGTGGATGTCTATCACTCCAACAGTTCGCTGAGTGTTCACTTACAATACAAAACTTGTTTCATCAATAACCCCTAGAAAGGAAAGAATCATATATTTCAGAATTGCATTTCAAAAATATGCCTTTGATAAAAAAATTGAAGGATACGACACGCCCTATTGCGGACAAAAATATTGAAAACAATATGGCGACAATTTGGAATGCTCATCTGAACCGATTTGCTATTCGATTCAGAATGCCCAGCACTACTTGTTGACCCATCGATCTTCCATAGAAACGCCTAGTTTCACTGTTAACTCATCTTTACCAGTTGTTTATTGCATTGCTCTTAGTAATACTAAAAAAGCCAACTAATGAAAAACAAGAATAAATGCATTACACTCAATTCAATTTTATGTAGTCGTTGCTCATTGTGAATGATACCTAGTTAGAGGGCCTTTACTCATTGTCCCCAGAGTACCGCTCTGTGGTCCCCTAGAGGTGCTGAGAGACCAGTTTGATAGACACCGTTCTAGAAACTCGCACTATTGTGATACGGACACCCCTAGATAACTCAAACTCAAGTTTTTTGCATCAAGATTAAATTCTATTATTATTATATTCTAAACCAGAATATTTTATACTAATTCAATTTTACAAATATTTACCGATAGTCATATTGTTGATTATATAGTTTTACTTTTGTAAATTCTCGTTACATGCATTTTACAGCAAAAGTTTAACCCAAGATTTTCAGTTAAGTGGAATTCATCATCACTTGCTGTTTTCCGATCATATTGACATAATGCACCCCCATAAACCTGTATGGTTTTAGTAGCTCTTCACTGTGAATTAGAGTGTATGCCATTTCCTTGAGCAAATTTTTGTATAAAATGTTCCATTGTGCTCAGAACACTAATTGTTACAGAAACTTCAATAATTTTTTTTATTTTCATGCAGAGTACATTATCTACTATACAAAGCAGTTGGAATTGGATCATTTATGACAACATTTTCGTTATCAAATTATTCAGATGTTATGAGATACCTCGCTTCTGTGTATTATGGAATATATGGTGTGGCAACGGCGTCTATTATATTGAGTGTAATTACCAGTGTGGTGTTCTCAATGATTCCAAAAGAAACAGTAAAAAGAGAGAAGACTGAATAATATGGACTAGTTGTATTATAATTTATGTAGATTAAATTATTTCATTTAAAAAAGAATATTTTAAAGCGAATATCTTAATGTTTGGGAGTAATGTAACGGGTATAGGTATCAATGGTCGAATAGTTTGTTATTCTAAAATCCAGAGTTCAAATATATTTCGATTTTGATTTATCTTAACGGACATATTCTCCAGTAAGATCATAGTTTATGGATTACTTTACTAGCTCGTTTCTCTTTGTAGACTCACGCGTTGGTGGCAAAGCAAGAATCATTTTGCCCACACAAAGATGAAATTTAAAAAACAAAATCATGCTATATGCTAAATTTTACACAGTTAAAGCAGAAAAAGGGTAAAATTTGGCATAAATCATGTTTTTGGCTGCGAAAATAGTACTTTCTGTCACTGTTATCATACTTTTGTAATGTAATTAAAAATTATTTCAACAACATGTTAGGAACAACTTTCAGGAATAGTTTAGTATTAGAAGGTTGTATGACACAAAATGCTATTACTATATATATTGATAGTGTTATCTTCTATAAGTACAGTTTAATAATAGTAAAGCTATTATTTACTTATGATATTTATTGTGCTGCGAAATCATTACTTAATTATTTATTAATCCTTGTCAACTGCGGATTTGTGTGCACAATATTCTGGGGAATTTATGTGTGGATGTGCACATGTAATGAAAGGTGACGACAACTTCAAATTTTTAGTTCATTTTATTTGATTTTTTTTGTATTAATTATTTACTGTTGTAAATGTGTTAGTTCATTGTTGTTTGTTTTAATGTTTAATTTCTTTTTAATTAATTAGTTCTGCTTATTTATTATTTAATTACTGTGCTATATTTCTGCTGTGTATCTTTTATTTGATCGTACTAATACCATCTGTAAACGTTTTTTTTTTCATTTTTTTTGTATAATTTGACTCTAGTGAATAGGTGAATATATGTACACGGGTACACCAAAATAATCTGCGTAAAATCTGTGAAATAATTTTTGCCCAAAAATTGATAGATTAACATATTTTAGGGCAACCTAATTTTGCTTTTAGGCCAATAATTTTTTCACTGCCATATAAAAATTGTATTCGCGTCTCTATTAGGGTAGTTTTAATACAGGGGTCATAGTAAGTGGCCTATGATGTTGCATTAGTCTATAAAACTATTGGCCGAATTTTATTTGCAAAAAATACATAGTGCCATAACAAAATTATTTATTGCTGTTCTTTCATAATGATTTTTCCACAGTTTAAATCTGATTCTCTGCTGAGGGTATCAAACTTCCAAGTTCGAAGTTTAGGTAAATTTTGTGTGACGTGCTGCAATGTCCATAAGGAATCGTATAGTTGAATCTGTTCGCAGTTATATACCTATATTAAACATTTTTAATTCACAATTTAAAGGATAATTTGATTTGAAAAAGTATCATTTTTAGCATTTAATGAAGTATAACCAAAAACGCCACCAAAAATTTCTGAATGCTGTAAAAAATAGAAAAAACAATCAAATCACCGTTAATTTCAACTTTTCTGCATTTCCAAATTTAACTTATGAACATGCATTGATTTCTTCTACTACAATTCAATTATATTTTCAAATATATTCAAAATCATAAAATTTTATTATAGAATATAATATATACGAACAGTAGAGTATTGGATTTTGGCCATCAAGATTTAGGTCATCAAGATAGTTCTTCAGTTTTTTTAACGTGGTTATTTATGATGTAATAATCTTGTCCTCTTATGGGAATTTTATTATTTAAAGCAGTGGTTCCCAAAGTTGATTGACCGTGGGCAAAATTAGAAGCAGAAGGTATTCGCGGGCCCGCAGAGGGAAGCGCCCACAAGGGGCCGATGCTTGTACGTATAATTAAGATACCGGTATTATTGGACTGTACGAACATTACACAAGCTTAAACTGTGATAATAACGTAACAATTGGCGTTATAAAAACAGAGTTGAACTATTTCACGGGCCATATTGAATCGTTACGCGGGCCTGTAATTGGCCCGCGGGCCGTGGTTTGGGAACCACTGATTCAAAGTATTGGCTATCTTTTAATTTGCCACCTTCATAAATCGTATATATCCTCTGAAATGCAACAGACTATAAAATTTCAGATTAAATTCAGAAACGTTAGAAAATAATTATAACGAACTGCCATAAAGAGTATGTTATTCGTACTTTTCTACACTTGGTGGTTGGGCATGCCCACTGTGACATAAAAAACCATATTGACATTTTGATCATTCATGAACAATTCACTATTAAACTGCCATGAAGGATTATATTAGAAGAGGTTGAAAAATATTATTCGCATAAGCTATAAATATACTACTTCAAAATTATAATGGTCCAATTTTTTTGTCAAATATTTAAAGAGCTGCAAGTCTGTGTAATTGCAAATATGCTACTTTTACTGTGTGCCATGAATATAAGATGCAACTTCTTGTGACTAGCCATGTGTAATATTTCAGAATAAATATGATTTATTATTCTTTATCATTTTATTAAACATACAAAAAATGAACTATTTTGCACAATTTTGAGTAGTGTTTATTTTTATTTTTCACTGTGCATAGATTTTAGTCAATTTTTAGGTGAAAAGGTCATATTTTAGTGTTTGCTTAATATTATTTCGCCATTTTTCTCTCATTGGGAATTTTCGCTTTCAAGTTTCTGGAACAGCAAAGATTACTTCTATGTATAGTGTTTCAGGAGCTATTGGCGTTACCATGATTGCTTGTAACTTACCCAGGGATGAGTCTCATTCCTCTCCGAGTGGGTGTGTTACTCAGAGATGAGTCTCATTCCTCACAGAGTGAGTGAGCACTCAGAGATGAGTCTCATTCCTCTCAGAGTGAGTGTGCACTCAGAGATGAGTGTCATTCCTCTCCGAGTGAGTGTGTACTCTGAGATGAGTCTCATTCCTCTATGAGTGAGTGTGCACTCAGAGATGAATCTCATTCCTCTCCGAGTGAGTCTTTGTGACCCTGCATTGAGCAAATTTTCGTAAAAATATAGGGGAATATAGTTTGATTGTGTTATCAAGCATGAGTTCATATAATCTATCCGTGTAAAACGGCAAAATTCTTAAATGAATATGAACAATTAAAATGAGTTTTTGGATTTTATATACAAAATAATAAAATTTGTGACCCCATTTTCAGCATGTAGTATGCATGTTTCTTTCTCTAAGTTCAAAACAAATTGAATATTCAACACTATTTGAAATTAGTTATATTTGATACAAAGTTCATTCAACTATCATATTCAAGTATGTACATAACATTGTTACGGGATATGTATCAGCAATCAGCATGAATAATTTTTTAAAAATTTAGGATTATTTCAATTTTTTTGTTAAACATAGATCAGGGTTCGGCAACCTACGGCCCGCGGAGTAACATAATCTGGCTCGCGACACCTCACTGAATTATAGTTACAAAACAGGTGTTTTTACGATTATATTCTTTATGTAACAGAATTTATTGCGAGACATGTGTAGACTACATTATATTATAATCTAACAAGTATAAAATTCACAATTACTCGTTTAATGAGCCTATAATTTCATTATAATTAGACAAATGGCAGCAAAACGCAGAAAAGTTGATGTTAAGTGTAAAGGTTCAATGGTTGCGAAAATATTCTAATGGAATTTTTTATGATGCAATGCAATGTATCACTGCTTGATTTTTATTATAAAAAGTATCATCCGTTCGGTTTTCAGCTTTCTAAAAATATGTGCGGCCCGCCAATGACTTGCAACCCTTAATTTTGGCCCGCGAGCGACAAAAGGTTGCCGACCCCTGACGTAGATCAATGGAGAATATAGGTAATATGGAATTGTTCCATAGGGTATTTGAAATAGTGAATTGTTGAATTTTGGCCATGCATGGGTTTAGACTTAAAGTGATCTAGCTTTTTTTTCAGAATTGAATTCATCTATTTCTTGGGTTTCAAAATTTTAGTGTAATGGAACTGAGTAATAAAACACTTAATTTATCGATTGATGTTCAATAAACTAAAATGACTTCATCTAATGACTCGGATGTATTTGCTGCTTTGTATTTACAAAATATTCAGTATTTTAATAGTGAAACGAATAGCTCACGGAGCCCTCGGGTTTCTCTCACAGAGCAAACCTATGGTCTATGCTACTTTAGAATTTTTTGTTGCATTTGCATATTAGGTCGTCTTGTCAAACAAGATTTGTTTAATTTTTCATGTGTGGTGTGATTTTTATTTTTTTTTCTCATCAGTGAATGTTAGATAAATACTGTGAACTTCATTTGAAACACGATTTTTCTGATCTCATTATTCCTATTATAGGTGGGATCTCTCGGAGATTTTTCATTATTTTAAGGGCTCTACGCCAAAAGGACCAAACTTAAAAAATTAAAATTTGGAAAACATGATTTTGATTTCTAAACATATATTAACTTTTTGTTGTAATACTTGGTGAATATGGCTCCAAATTTTGATTAGAAAATCAGTTCAAAAAGCTGCTTTTGCTTTGAAATTTTTTCAATTAATATCATTTCGAAACTTAGACTTTGCATTTTGTCTCGAAAACCTTGATTTGTCACAGAGAGCGAGTAAATTTTATATGTCTTAACAAAATGGCGCACTAGTTATTCGTTCTAAAGATGTCACCTACCCATCTACAGCAATTCCCTACCATACAGTCCGCCAAGGTGACAAGTGCGCTTATACAGTACGAATTGGAAATGTCCATCATTTCTGTATAATATGGGAGTGTTGTTCTTGTGTCTGAGTTGATAAATGTGTAATAAATTATTTAAAGTACATTTGTGAGTGCTTTAATATGTATACAATGTATTATAGAAATATATTGTTTGAAATTCCACGTCGGCTATATTCGAACGTTTTAGAAACTAGGTTGAAGCTATCTGATAATCTAATCAATCAAAATATTATTTGCCGGTTTATTTCCAAGGATTTGTGGCGATGTTATATATTTTTAGTTATGGAAACGTTTGCAGGAGATTAGCCTTGTTTCTTTAAGTTGTCAATTAGTGAACTTGCGTCACGGTCCAAGAATGGCAACACAGAAATACAGAGAAGTTGCGAAGACTTAAATACTATTTAAACATGCGACGTAAAAGTTGTTTTTCGTGATCAATCTGACTTCATAACATGTATTGACAGTCTTTGTCGTTAAAATCGCAAGTTGAAGATATTTCACGAGGTAGTGGATGTGGATACCGTTTGGTTATTCATTTTCATCGCCCTTGAAACATATTGTCTTTCTGTCCATTATGACTTGAGCGCATTTGTTTTGAACTAGTGTCCAGGGTAATCGGTACTTCTGGGAATATATAATGATACGTTTAAACTACTTTTTTGAAACCTCGTCAAAATATGTATTTAGAATTAATTTAACGTTATTTGATTTTGAGTGCGAGATGATTTCTATATTCTTTGCAGTCGTTCAGTGGGACGGGCATTAACCGGATCCATTTATTGTTTCTGGAACGCTTAATCGGTCATTTTTATACTTGAGTGCTCGGTTTACCTGCTCTTACTCGCGATTGAACTGCAGATAATATTTTTTGATCTTAACTTCCAGTTTCTCAGCACTGACGTTCAAATGAGTTAGCCATCGATATTTTATCACACGCAGGTTCGGTTTAGGGTCAAGTGATGCCAATTGCCATTGAAGGTAACTTCAAAGTGCTTTTTAATATTAATAATTCTTTATAATAATCTATTTTGATATAATTTAGGCGAACATTTTAGGATTTACGATTTTATAAGGTTGATAGCAGCGTTTCCTTGTTATTCGAGATCCATTAAACTAGGCCTCTGATTTAAGCAACTATTGTACATGCAACACAATTAACGCAGTTTAAGCGTTGGAAATGAGCGTTTTATGACCATCTAAATTTCTAAAGTACACTTTTCCATCCCGTCCACCTTTAGACTGCAAGCACACCAACACAAGAACAAGTGTGAACAAAACAATATCTCATAGCGAAAATATGGGCACGTAATCGGTACTTCTTGGAATATATAATAATACGTTTAAACTACTTTTGAGTACCACAACATCGGCAATTGTATAAACAGAAAAACCTCGTCAAAATATGTATTCAGAATTAATTTAACGTTATTTGATTTGATTTTGAATGTGAAATGATTTCTATATTCTTTGCAGTCGTTCAGTGGGATGGGGCATTAACCGGATCCATGTATTGTGTCTGAAACGCTTAATCGGTCATTTTTATACTTGAGTGCTCGGTTTATCTGCACTTACTCGCGATTGAACTGCAGATAATATTTTTTGATCTTAACTTCCAGTTTCTCAGCACTGACGTTCAAATGAGTTAGCCATCGATAACTTTGACCTATCGGTCGTAATTCACTAATTTATTATATTTTATCACACGCAGTTTCGGTTTAAGGTCAAGTGATGCCATTAGGGTTGCCAACTGTCCTCTATTTCAAAGGACAATCCTTTAATTAAGCTTACCTGTCCTTGTCCTTTTTAGCATTCAGAAAAGATGTTAATGTCCTTCATTCTTTCCAATGTCGTTTTCAATCAATCAATCAATCAGTTTAGTTTTGCCCGATAGTTATAGTACTGTGCTTGATATTGTTCCGTATCTAAAAAATCGCCTCCGTTTATGTATCTGCAAGCTTTTGAATATTTCTCTCAATCTCGCTTTGTCCGGCTCAAATGCCAAAGAAATAACAATTTTATTAACATTGTTTGGGTCAATGTTAAATAAACATTAAATGAAAAACACATGAAGATTGTTTTAATATATCTTTTTAGCTTGTATATAATTTTTATTTCATTGTTTTATATTGTTCTTTCCTTCGAGTTACAAAATAAATGATGACGGTAATCTATGTCCTTTATTGAAACTTTTCATAGTTGGCAACCCTAGATGCCATTGAAGGTAACTTTAATGTGCTTTTTAATATTAATAATTCTTTATAATAATCTATTTTGATATAATTTAAGCGAACATTTTAGAATTTACGATTTTATAAGGTTGATAGCAGCGTTTCCTTGTTATTCGAGATCCTTTAAACTAGGCCTCTGATTTAAGCAACTATTGTACATGCAACACAGTTAAACAGATCTCATGGAAAAAATATTGATACGTTTTTCTTCAAAATTCAAACATACCGCGACCGTCCCAACCATGTTAGTCCGTCCATATACACGCGTACAACATACACACAAAATCCGCCAAAATATTGTCATGAATTTCAAGCTATCACCAATTCCAAGCTTCCTTCGACTGTCCAGATCCTTACCACCGCTAAGTACCCTGGAAGCTTTTTTATTCACTAGATCGGTCCCAAAATGTGTGTCTTCGGCAGGCGTCCTGTATCTTAACTTCACTAATAATGTACCATAATATGTACACATACATATTTGTACCAGCAATAAATATCACATCGCACATATTAAAGTTCAATCATACTGTGCTCGAATGAAATGGATTATATAATAATCAAAGTCAAACGACATATTTCTAATTTATAATCTAAGAGTGGCTGATGATGACATATCATCATAATATGCCTTCAAGCGAAAGACTTCTCTGATAAAACTAAACCACATCGTCGAAATGTTCTGTGTTCTAAATTTGAGGTGATCAAGTTGAGGTAAAGATTTTAGAATCGAATTTACTATAAGCAAGTCAGTCCTTTAGTTAGCAAGTTTTTAGTTAGACGAGGCTGCGATAGATTAAGCATCTATCATAAAGTTCACTATAAAGTATCCATAGCACACGTACATAAAATGGGAATGTATCAAACCTATTATACTAATATGTAGTTAATAAGATTCAACAAATATAGAATTGAACTAATTAAGATAAGTAAACGCCACATTTCATGTTGATTTTTCCAGATTTCAAATAGGATTTGTGTTCGTTTTTAGCAGTATTACCATAAACGGCCCCAATTTAGTATATGAATTATCCGAATAAAATATGCTAGTATCAACTGTAATGTATATACGAGTATATTATTTGAATGGGGTAACTTGTACAATTGTCGAGACTAAAAGTACTCATATATTATATAAATAATCGATGAAAGTTATTTTCGTAAAACCGGTAAATCATACAATATTCCGAAACTCGAATTATATAGTACGTTTGTCTTCGATAATGCATTTGCACAAATTCTGATATTACATTTTTTGTTATTCAATTTTATTATTGATACATGAAAATCATTGTCATAGAAAATTATGTGCTTCCACAGTTTAATGGAATGTTTTTGTTTCAACCCGCGTGGAGCACCGTACAAGTATGAAATTATGGAAAATAAATTGACGTATTACTTCAAGTTAGAATGTGTTCGTATAAATTTCCATCACACTAATTGGAAGATATTTTTAGTCAGCTTTTTTTTATTAAACAACCACATCCTCAATTATCACACTTAAGTAGTTTGAAAACGCTAATGGGAGAGAAAGTTTTAGTAATTTATTCATAGATTACTTATACACTCGTACTTGAAAGCGCACCGTAACACTAACAATATATTAAATGGCAGTCATCCTCTGGAATACAGGAGAAAAGTATCGTTGGCATTGAAATGTTCACAATAAAATAGGAAAAGGTTAATATTGTTCACGTCTTTCGATTGGAGTAAATCGCTACATGGTTCAGAATCATGAAAAATATTATTTTAAAAATGTCATTAAGTTTGCTGAATCGACGAAACGTAATAGAGATTTTATCTCAATTTTTACCGTTAAAAATCTAAAATGTTATTTTATCAGATTTTCATTTTTCACGAGACTGGAATCAGATTATGTTTGATCAAACATAATTGGTACTTTTATTTATGGTTAATCGAAGTGTTTACCAAGAATTTTATTGCTAATATTGTTTTGAGATAGACTTTCACTTTCATTCGTCAAGTTGAAAAATTTTAAACCAAAATTAAAAATTTAAAACCAAAATTCAAAAATATTTTGTTTCAAGTTACATTTTAAATATTTTAGTAACAGCACTAGCATAGATTATAGAAATATTATAAACAGTTCAATATATAATACGTATAGCAAAATATCGCGGGGTGAATAAAAATGTGATATAACGCGTATAAAGGTGAAGGATAATTATGTTATCTATGAATAATATCATCAGTTGACCGAATCATCTATTTATAACGCGCAATTGAATATATACCAAACAGCTTTCAATTATGTTCAAAGTAACAAATTATATTCAAACATAGATATACAAATCAGGAATAAGAATCGTAAATTGTTGTTTCAGTATTTGGCTGGAAGACTTGTGAGACAGACATAACATACACCAGATTTAGTGATTGGTAACGTTCTCGAGTCAGTACACTCAAATTAATTTTGTTCTCTTCACACGAACAGTTTTCAAAATATTCAGGGAGTTCAGTCCGGCAAATTTTACTTGAGATATTTAAGATACTGAACGCAACCATGGTACAAAGAAGACTCACCATGTTGAAGTTATTAACTATGATGTCAATCCTTCATGTTGGAACTTGTCAAAGTGAGATATATAATTATTTGTGAATATGACTGTATGTAATAATTTTCAAATGATTATGAATATTCGAAATTCAAAATTCGTAATATACCACTGAGGAAATAAATGTTTTAAAATGTTATTGGTATGTTATCAATAATTAAAAAGACATATATATATATGATATCATATATATAGTGATATCGTAAATAACAAATTTCACGAAGTGAATTTTGGAATTTATTTGGCACATTGCTGTGATATATATCTATTTAGAATATTAGGAAACAGATTACCTGTAAAATAGAATTCAAGTCGGAAATAAAAATGATTCAGATATGAAAGTTATTAGTTTAGCCTTGTCTTATGATTCAATAACATAGATTCGAACCAGTTGTCCGGTGTAAATATGACTGCACTAAGAACAAAAAACTTAATCTTGCAATCTTTACTTGTATTGCAGATAATTTTCGTACCCTCCCTTGGTGGCAATTTTTGACCCCACGACCAACATTTCGATCGACTACTACAGAAGGTGTAGTCGAAACGAGGCCAATTCGACCCACCACCACAACAACCCAGGCGTCCCTCGTCGATGCGTTCGTTTTTGAAAAGCCAGGTTGTTTTGCCCAACCTGAATGCATTCATCATTTTACACATAGGTAATAGCTTTTGCTTTAACTTATCATAAAAACTACAAAAATTGAGATTTCGAACACGAGTATTATCACGTTTACAAGTTCAATTTCATCAAATTAAAAACCAGTACAAAACACACGAAATTTCCCTGTCAAATTGGATAAATGACTGACTTTGTTTAGGAATTCGTACTTTGATTATATGAGACATAGATTGGCCGCAGGCAATGGGAGACGGAAGTGCTTTGCACTGACACAGATCCTAATATATTGGCAAAGTTTATATTTAGAATCAAAACAATTCCGAATAGTCAGCATATTTACACATTTTACGAAACTAATTGCGGTTTATCGTGGGTTCGATTTTATCATTTTGAGCTCCCTTTTTTGTTCTGTAAATAAATAAGCACAATCATATAGTGATCAGTGCGTAAATCAAATTCGTAAACTAGCGGCCTCGAGTTCAGGCCCTCACTAGAATAGTAGATAAAACTAGTGACTCAGCTCAGCTTTGTCAAATTGAAAAAATATTTCGTCATTTAAAACATTAATAGCTTCATGTCGTAATATGGTGCAATAATAAAAACGAAAACTGTCCAAATATAATTTCTATTCATACTGAAGAGAATGACGTGACATTTTTTTGATTTGGCGTAAAAACGGTGCCTCGAATATAATTCTTAACCGGTAATTAGCAAAAAGTATAAATATTCAACGCTACTAGTACTACACTATTTGTTGTAATTACTTATATATATTATTATATTTCTCAGATATCAATTTCTGGAAGGTGTTTGCAATAATCCGATTGATAAAAAACAGAGGACGGGCTGGAAGAGGGTTTAAAAGATTACTACCGCCATCTTATGGTGACAAAAAAGGTATCTATATCACCGGATTTTTAGTCTAGTACAGCGTTTCCCAACCTTTTTTGGTCGCGGACTATTTTCTCACCAGCAAAAACCTTTGCGGATTCAAGGTGCGTTTATTGCAATCGTACTCTGTGCGAAGAAGCAATAGAATCAAACACAACAGAATTTTAACGAATTTCAAAATTGGAAATTCACCGCAATTACGCGTTCGTTAAAAAAAAAGTCGACTTTTTTTAGTGTATAATCATAATGGCCTTTTCTGTCGCACAAAATTCAACCCGTGACAACGACGACAACTGAAAATGTCATTCTATTTTAATTTAATCGTGATCATGGTAACTCGCGGTTGCGTCGACTTACGACAGGTAGAAAGCATTACTTCTTTTAAAATGCCACGGCAATCTGCGAACATAATAATGTGAGAATATATTGCCCGATTATGTACATATTTTTTGCGATCTTGCGAATTTGTAATCGCCGTTAGAAAAATCTTACTACCTGCTATAAATTTCCAGAGAGTACAACTTGATTTAGTACTTATTGAAAATATATTTGAGGTATATATATAAGTAAATCGAAAATACATATTCATCGCCTTTCTTTATTATAATTTAATTGTGATCATTTTAATCTGCGGCTGTGTTGACGAAATAAAAGCAATACTACTAAGAAAATATCATGACAATCCATGAACACAAAATTGCGTGGTAAAGTGCGCAATTTTATTTTATTTTGATTCGTATTTTTGTGAATTCGACAAATCTGAGCTGTTCGAACAACACTTACGGCGCCCCAATACTGTGCCTACCAATGTGGAGGCAGTAAAGCAACTGATACGTAGGCTATACTACAGTAGCACACGAAATTTTGCGATTTGCAATGTCAAAAAAGCATAATGAAACAATCATCATAAAACGCGAATCATCATAAAACAAAACTTATGGTGTTCTCCGTTTTATTTTTAGTATTTTGTATTGCCGCTTTTCAATTTAGAAAATTTGGATTTCCACCATTGACATCTACCAGAAAAAAGAAATTATTCCTCGTTGTTCGAACTCGCGAGAAACACCACTTAGGTATCTATCAAAGCGTTTGCAGAATCGTGTGTTTTCGTCGGAAATCCGCTAGTTTGATTAAAGCGACGCGCAAGTGACCTGTCGCGCGTCACCTGTTTCCATAGTAATTTGCTATTCTAATAGTTGAATATTCGGATATATGCCCAGCCCTACTCAGTAATCAGTAACTAACGACTCGATTAATGTTAAGTGAATAAACTTGCTTTTTATTTGTTATGTAGATTCTAACGTAAATCGTAACCAGGCTGATAGTTAAGTTTCGCAAAAACGTTTGCGACCCGCAGTGAATTTCTGGCTCGTTGCGGACTCATTCAAACGCTCCGCGGACTCATTTGAGACCGCGGACTCGGGTTGGGAAACACTGATCTAGTATCACGAACATTTTTTGGATAAAGCATTGGTTTAACCAAATTTTACTTCAAATAATTGTTGTTTTATATACTTTAAAATATATTTGTTTAATACAAATATACATTTTCATCTAGGAACTCCGCGATTGGATAAAAATGGACAAGAGCTTCACTCTGCGAGAAAGATCAGCCTGAATCTGAATTTTGCAGAACAACGGAAATCTTTAAACGTGTCTCATTTCATGCCATGGTGGGGTCAATTTATCACACATGACACACAGCGAACACCAAAAACAAGAAGTAAGATCTTTAAAATTGATGTTAGTTTTTAGGATTTTGCATTAGAAAGCTGCTATTGTATACAGTCTACGAGACCGCTTTATACAGTATTTTATGATATACATAAAACAATGACACAAAAACCGAAGCAGTAGTCTACTTTACTTTTTGCAGTACCGGTACAGTTATATTACTCTTGTTATGTGGGATATATATTTGCAAACAAAAACAGACACTCAAAAACTCTTGAAAAATTTGAAATCTTGATTTGGGGTTTCGCAAAAATTTGTTTCATTGAAAGTGTTCAAAAAAGGTTGGTAATCACCGCGTAATGTTACCCCCACTGTATTGCTATTTTCTAATCGACTGCATTTGCGCCCTAAAATGTCTTCTCTATATAACGATTTACGACGTGAAAAAAACATTTCATGAAATTATATCGATATATATATCAATTATATCAAAATTCAAGTCAAAAAAGTTTCATTCTGAGCTAAACCCAGGATATTGAGTCAAAGCTTGTTCGACTAACTAAAAAAACCCAAGAAAGTTGAAATTGTTGATATTTCTGTTTGTATTTCATTTTTAGAAGCGAATGGAGCTACATATGATTGTGAATGCTTGACAGAAGATAAAAGAGGATGTGTCAATATACCTGTTGAAAGTGATGACGTACGTTTTACAAAGAATGCTGACACTTGTCTTAAACTTGACCGATCAGCAGTTGTACCCGACCCAGAGTGTAAGATAGTTTTCATAATGAATAAAATTGTAGTATTATTTCAAGATTCTTTCACACATTTTCCCTTTTTAGTGGTAAGTTTTGCCCACAGAGTGCATTATTCAAGACGAGAATTAATTTTGTGCTATTTGGCCGAATCAGATTGAATCGAGATTCGGCAATATATATACTATTGCGGCGAATACAAAATGAATTTTTACCATTACCGAAGGACAATATCCTAACATTCGCAAAATCAAACAAGAGAGCCATTCTGAAACCCTATGGAGTCCTTTGAGCATTACAGTGCCGGCAGCCTACGAGACTCAAATCGAAATCCAAAAGCTCCAAATCGAAATATTTATCTAAGTCACACAGCCGTAGTAATTCACATAAACGTCATAAAGGTACCGGTAATTTAGCAAACTAACCCATGTGTATATTCGTGTCTATAAACGTCTGACCTCAATCTTCAACAGGTGATAGCAGTATACGAGAACAAGAGAACGGAGTGTCATCATATCTCGATGCTTCAAATGTTTACGGCGATAAACAATCAGACCTGGATCAATTGCTGAATCAGCATTCCAGTGAGACATCTATTGTTGTTGCCAGAATTCGGATTGTAACTTTCATTCCCCATTTAAAATTTGATTTAATTTAAAGCTATTGCATATATGTTATTTTGACTTGTCCATTAGACATATCGAAAATGCCCAAAATGTTCCATTTTTGACTTTGTTGGTCAAAGGCATCGCAGCTTGCTATCAGGATACACTTCGAAACTAAATATAAAAATATTACCTTCAGAAATTGGAAAATTGCTCGTTGGAAATTACATTGGTGAAGGTGGTGAGGCTGGATTACCATTTCAGAGTCAAGTTCACAGAGATTTTGCTGCAAGAATGAGATGTGAAGTTGTTGTACATAAACCTAATGATAAACCGTGTATGCTTGCAGGTAATTCATCATGTTCTTAACCGGTGCGTTAATGTTAGTTTTTTCAATAGGCTGTATGTGAATAAAGCTTAAATACTCACCTGTCAAAGTTTTCCGCATTGAAAGTTTTGAGCAAACCACATCATATATAAAACTGTTACGCAAACGCCGAATCAATTTAGTGCTTTGTCCGACATGGAATTTGTATTTTAAGTCTGTGCAATGCTTACAACTCTCAATTAGATCCATTCAATGTATATTTTATATAATCTTCGAAATATTTTCTCAGGAGATACTCGTGCCAATGAAAACACGGGTTTGTCGGCTCATCATGTTGTATTTCTGAGATTACACAACAAGATAATTGAAGAATTGAGTGAAATTAATCCACATTGGGATAAAAATACTCTCATTCAGGTAGTGTATTAATACCAAACGGACACGATTATACTTTTAAATAAAATTTTCAAACACGCCATAAAAACAAAATCAGCATACAAGGCTAGGTATCTTTTGAATGTATTCATTGTCTTTTCCTTGTCGTGACATGGAGATTTTTTGAAAAAATATACACATTTGTAAATGTTTCAAATATATATGTATATATTATTTATTTTTTATACATTTCCCAAACACTTCAAACTAAAATGAATTGTATCGTTCTGAAGCGACCCATGTGGAATCAAAACGCAACAAATTCTTAAAACCTATTACTAGATATTTACACCTTTTGTGTTTGCTCTAATTCATCAAACTTACAGTTCAAAATGATTATAATTGAATACAGGAAACAAAAGCAATACTAGCATCAGTTCTACAACTCATAACCTTCAAGGAGTTTTTACCAGTTGTTATTGGTGAAAAACACATGGATCGATTCAACTTGAATATTTTAGAAAAGGTAATAGCTTATCACAAAATTTTAGGTCTAAATTCTGAGGCTCTATTATTTCCCCCAGTTAGTATCCAATTTGAACGTCAACAGCATGGAATGATGGTTTATTTAGCTTATTTCGCAACAATAAGAAACTTTCCAGCTAGTGGTAAATCAGTGGGATGTATGACTCATGGCTAGAGCTCTGCGAACTACAGTCGCATCATTAACTTCCCTTTAAGTCAGTCGAAATCAATTTTTTCATTAATTAATTTTCATTATCGATTTAATCTATTCGGAGCAAACAAAGCATAGTGGAATTTGTTAAATGGGTCGCATTTCATATTGTTAGCCTAATATTAGACATGGTAACATTTCAATAGTTCAGTGTCACACTCAAAGTTAAATCGTGATAACATGTAATTTTCTCAAACAAAACGAAATATTTCATTTGAAAGGGATATTGGCACGGTTACGACGCTTCTGTTGATGCCACAATGAGCACGGCGTTTTCGGCCGCCGCATTTAGATTTGGTCACACCGCCATAACCAAAGAAATGAGCAGGCCAGCACCAGACTGGAGAACACCAGAGGCATCTCCTCTACCAGTGAAAGATATGTAAGGAATGAATTATTTCATATTGTCACGTCAGAAATATTAATTTGATTGTTTATTTGTTTTTGTCAAATCCACATGGAGGCATTAAAATTCGTAAAATATCATTTTAAATACGTCCCACGAATGTGCTTCTTTCAATCCTTTGGAATTTTGACATAGCATTTGGTGGTTTATTTAAACTAAAGTGAACGAGAACCAGCAGAAATTCCCAGAAATGTTTACAGTTATACATGAAATGACATCGAATAAAAGATCAGAAATAAGGTCGTAAATGGTTGCTACTTTTAACGTTCAGTTTTTTCAACAATGAACCTCTTCTGGAGGAATTTCATGGCGGCGTCAACTCGGTTTTACGTGGAATGGCAAAAGATGCTTCGCAACTAACTGGAACCAAAATGATCAGTGCAATGAGAGAATTCCTATTTGCAATGCCTGGTATGTTCTGAGCATAACAGTAAGAGTAATTATTCGAGTTATGTAGCCTAATTAAATTTATGTATATTCATTATTTTGTTCATTGTTTTTAAAGCAAGTCTCTTAAATCTAGTTTAGGTTAGGGATTATCCGTAATCTAAATTCAGAGACGTGCATCTGTTACATTTATTCACATTTTAAAGCGACTGAAAAGTATTATGGCGTCACGTTTTAAATCACGATATCACGCTATTTATACTACTACACCTACAAGTTGTAATAAAATATTATAAACCCAATGGATATTCTCATGTAGATTCTGAATACGGCAGCACCTCTTTACCTCCCATTGTCTGCCCTAAAGTATGAATATCGAAGAGTTTGATTTTTTTTTTACAATTATTTCGACAGGTGAGCCAGGTCATGATCTGTTTGCAACCAACATACAGCGAGGTAGAGATCACGGTGTTCCAGGTTACAATCATTTCCGTGAATTATGTGGATTGAAAAAAGCGAGCAGTTTTGACGAACTCGTGGAAATTCCGTTTGAATCAAGAAGTCGACTTTCTAAATTATACAAGTTAGTAACTCTCTCATTCTGTAAGTTGGAAGGAACGGGTTATTTGTGGTTCGGGACATCATATCAAAATAATTTTTGAATCGGACTCATTTTTTATTTAAAATATTTGAAATTTTGCAGGCATGTAGACGATATTGACTTGTACGTTGGTGGATTAGCAGAAACATTATATCCCGGTGCATCTGTTGGCCCAACTTATGCCTGTATATTAGGATATCAGTTCAGAGATATGAGAAGTGGCGATAAATTCTGGTTTGAAAACGGAGGATTGTTCGCTTCATTCACACCGAGTAAGTTTGGACAGAAATACTGCGCGCATGTTTTTGTATTTTATCGTCTAATTAACCGATAGGGTTTGTAACATGTCATACATATACTGACACAACGTCTGCTACAAGTTTGGATAACATAGCAAATTGAAATCTTATTTGTAGACTGTTAAATTAAATCACAGTAAAACATAAAAAATAAGCTGAATGTATTATGAGAAACATTTAAAAGGTTAGGTGTAATTTGTATACGATCTCTCACGATTTTTGGCGCCAACGAAATATCTATCTAAATGAATTTACATCTTCACAATGGTTAAGCTTACAATATAGATTTTTCTGCACTTGTTGAGTAACTATTGTCGCTAAAATAATGGTGTTATTTGGGCATTAATTCAACTTTTATTTATCTCGATATTCAATCAAAGTCAGAATAATAAATTTGAGTTGAAGTTCCTTCTTAACTTATCGGAGAAACTGTTTCATTACAGAGCAACTGGATGCGATTAGGAAATATTCTCTGGCTAAGCTCATGTGCGATACAATGGCTGATTTGAGAAATATTCAACCCAGACCAATGTTATTATCATCAGCGCCGGGAAATCAACGAAAATATTGTCAGGAATATCAGAAATTGGACTTAAAAGCCTGGAAGGAGTCGCCCTCCGGAGAGTCTGAGAGTGAAAGTAGTACAGAACGTGAGCGACTGTTTTCTTTCTCTTCTATTCTCCTTTTTCACGCGTCGCCATTTTTACTCTTTTTGTTATTTTTGGTACACATCGAAACTATTCCAAAAAATCACCCATACGATATTTTTTTTCGTTCTCACAGATGACACTGATTGGTCACCATGGATACCGTGTGAAATGGAAGGCGTCGAAATATCAGTTTCGACCGCATTCAACGACGCTTTGAAATTTCGACCAGATGAAGTTTGCCGCGACGTTATATCTACTGAAACACGGAAGATAAATGGAATAACGCAAGTTCGATTTGAGTGTGCTCGTGGATCGATCAAAAAGACGGATTATCCTTTTATTGACTCAGGCTATGAGGGTGAGAAAGGTCTTTTTTGAATTATACTAAATGAATTAGAGAGTACCTACTTGATATCCATACTGAGCCCATACATCCCCCCCCCCCTTTTTTTTTACTTCCACACTTTTTTGGGGTTCAAACCGTTACAAACAACGCTCAATATACAGTTACTCACTTTCGTTTCGTCACAGCCTACTCTGTTACCCAACAGAGAGAGAGAGAGAGAGATTTATCATTTTCGTCAACCAAAAATAACAGTCATCGTAATAATAATAAAAACGAGAATATCGGTTGGAAACCGAATACTTATCGATCGATAGTTGGGGGATCCCCCAAAACAGAAACTGCAGTTTCGATTCATCCGCTCGTGTAACTTGCGCACTGCGCATCGCACACACACACTCGGCGGGTCTCAAAATTCTCTCGCTTTACAAAAATCTAGATCACTTAATCAATAATTGATTGATAACTCGCTAATTATACGACATAATTCGCCCAAAATCAATAGGAATCTGGTCCGAGATAAGATGAATGCACATGCAAAATCTGGGGCAGATTCAATCTCGCTTTCGTGAGATATCGCGTGCATCTAACAGACACACACACACACACACAGACAGACAGACAGACATACAAATACCTATCAATATACTTACCGATCTTAAGATCGATAAGTAAAGAGCTATGCTCAAATATATGGACACGTAGCGCCACCCAATGGCAATAATTTTGATGACGTCATAGCGAAAAAAAAAGTAATAGCCTTCTGGAGAAAAATTTTATCTTTAACCACTGAAAATTTCAAAGCATTTGGTCCAGTATTCGAAGAGAAAAGCGTTTTTTCAATGATAATGACGAAAGAAAATAACAATAACAACAAAATTTTGAAAGATCGTTATGGCCACTAAACGTGTCCAATAAACGTGTCCAATAAGAAATAAATTAGTTTGGTATAGACGGGAGGTAGTGATACGACCAGACGGTCATCACAGTCAACTCCCCTCCCCCCCCTCTCCCCCCCCCCCCCACAGTTTCAGATGACTAAAATATTGGGGAGGAACATTCTAGAATTTAAAATTATATTCTCAAAATGGAAGAATAAAATTGGGGAGGGGAATGCCAGAGTAAATCATTTTTATTTATTTATTTATGTGGAGCGGGATTTCAAAATCAACACCTTGAGTGGGGCGCTTGGTTTAAGTTACATTGTACAAATGGGTTCAACCATGGTGGAATGCTCTAACAACTATTAGAAACAGGCCATTATGATTGATTATTAATACTAAGAAAACTCTTTATTTAGTTTATTGGACTCCATGGAGAGACGAATCTAATCCAGATAGACAAAGCGGAGATGATATCGAAGCAGAACCCGATAAAGAAGAATGTAAAAGACCACTCGCAATCCAGGCTCAAACAACGAAAGAGGTAATCAGTGAATAGAAATAGTGTAGAAGAGTGGTTTTCAAATGCGTCAACCAAACTTGGTCAGAGGGTCTTACGCCTATTTAAAGTTCTAAACGACTGGATAGGTCCTGAGCTCTGGGTTGTTTTTGAAGGTTCACCGGTCCGCAGAATTCATTTTGAAATTTTACCGGTCCGCAAATTAAAAAAGGTTGAGAACCACTGGTGCAGAAGTCATTTTTATTTTGAATCCTAATTCACGGAGTACGAGTTGATAAAGTGGGAGTAGTATGAACAACTGCCCGGTCCACTTCAGTTACTGAAGCATTTTGTTTGACACTAATGTGTGCTTCTTGAGATACTCATTTCAATTGGAAATAAACGGGCCAATGTAATTATCTGATAAAAAGTTGGGCGCTCCTCCAAGATGGCGCACAACCTGAATCCTAACCTGTTACAACTACTATGTTCAAGTTGTGCGCCATCTTGGTGCACATACTTCTGGGGGTCCAAAAATTGTTGCTTTTGTCGTATTCTTTGTTGTTTCTTGCATTTCTATTTTACCATTGTCTACAAAACCAAAATACATTTTTTGTAGTGAAAGATGAGAATGTTTTCATGATCACCAATTTTGCTTATATTTTAGGCGATTCATGGTATCGGAGTTTGAACGAAAATTTTGTAGTGTTTTGAGTGTTTCTCAACAGCATACATGAATGAACGGCTGCCAGCTTTCCTCTTGTTTATTATTGTGATGAAAAATCATAAAAAATAAAACTCTCTCTGTTTGTCATAAAGGTCCCGGCAGGAGAAACTGGAGATGTTTTCGAATCATTTGGAACAACTCATGGACTGGTGTGTCGTGGTGATCATCAAACATCCAAGATTTGCAATGATTATCGAGTTCGATATTTATGTCGACGAGGTAAGTTGATTTGTGTAGATTCATTTCCCAAATTTTGTAGCCTGTAGTGGGAATTTTGTAAGGGGTTTCAAGCCTTCTCCGAATACGCAGTTACTTTACACCCTAGTCTACAGTCTTTCTAACCCTCTCGGAGTTACTTGCGACAAAGAAATGATTGATTCACTCAACAAAATTTCCGGTTCGAAATAGCGCCTCCAATGTCACAAAAAAGTATTCTCATAGACACAAATTATGCATTACGAAACTATTGGATAAACGATTTACATTTGTTTTTGATTTCACAGCAAGTATAAAAAAGAAAGCTTTCACCTTGAAATCTCCTTCTACGTCGTCATCTTCATCGTCAAGTACAAAACGTAGAAATACAAATAAGAATCCCAATGACTTAGTGTGGACACCTTGGACGAATATTGACACTCCAACAATAGAAGGCGACAAAGAATTATTAATCAACGTACAGTCGAGAGAAGGATTTTGCAGGTAGAGAATATTATGTTTTTGCAATCATAACTTAGTAAGCACGCAGAAGACTGACTATGTGCCTCAAATCGAGGGTTGCGCTAAATTCTGTTTACTAGCTTGCTCTGTCACTGTGGTAACAAAAATTCTCTATGCAGCTTTTAACACGACAGTATTCGTCAATATTCATTATTTTGTTTTGATTATCACTTTCGTAGTATCTTGATTTCAAAGGAAAAACCCGCGAAAGTTGCGCGAATTCAACTGTATTTGTTTATATGACCTTGGTTTGCCTCGATTAGAGAAAATTTATTTTGTTAGTGGTTTGATTTGTACCTATTTAAATGGAGATTATAGGAATAGTAATATATACACACATAAATAGAATGCTTCACTATCCGCATTTTGGGTCCATACCGTATTAGGTTTCCTTCTTTACGCCAAAAATACGTATAGTGAATCAGTCCTAGTGTTCACTTTACTATTTAATCTCTCCAATTTCTCAGTGATAGTATTTGCAACCGTATTTTCAGAAACCCTCTGTACATGGAAGCACGAACGGTTGCCACCAAGATAGCAGCAAAAAGGACAGGAGATATTTTAGACCAGTTTTCAAACAAAGTTGGTTTAATATGTATTAACAATAAACAACCTCTGAAAAGCTGTAACGATTATGAAGTGCGATACTTGTGCAGAAGCGGAGGTGAGTCTCCTACTAGACAACGTAAACAATGGATTAATCTAACGTATGGTTAATATTGGAAATGTGGGGTCGGAAATATATTGTCTATTCTATCCGACTCCGGTGCATTCAAAAATCCAACTCTTGGCTTCGGATTTTGAATCCGACACCGGGATTTCAAATACATAAACTTAAAGATTAACAGGCTTTGTTCTGTTTTAGTTTAGTTTTTAACTCCGACTCTCGAATATATGATGCTAAAGTCACGCTTTTGGAGTTGAGTTGGCCTCTGATCTCCGATCTAAAACTTCGCCTTGTTTGATAAATGTAATTACACAAAGTATCACAATAAAAATATGCTTCCATTTTACTCCTACTGTACATACGTCCATGCTTACTTCGCTGTATCACTCATTGTTGAGTACTCCCGTAGTGTGTCCAGGTTAGGGTTAGGTCATAATTTAATTATCCTTATTTGAGTTATATCACGAGTTCATGGACTGTCTGTGTTAGCCAAGTGAATATACCCCCTGCCCATAGGTTTCAGTCCTATAACACAAGTTTATGTAAAGTAGGCGAACAAAATTAGTTACCTCCAAATCGGTACACAAACTACTGCAGCACTCATTGTTGCTGTTGTCCAGACTTTTGTCAAGCTGTATGAATTGTACGTGGCCCTTTGGTCAATAACGACCAATGACTCACGTGAGTCACGTCTCTACTGGTTACAAAAAATTCGAACAGTTTTTTTTTTCATCAACAATTATTTAATCATCTTGATCTTTATTCATTTCATTTAGACGTCAACAGTGGACCCTCTGTACCACCATGTGAGTATATAGAATCATTGAATATTTTTGTAACTAAAATAAAAGATAAATAGTGGAAAAGATAGAGAATAATATGATAAAAAGAATAGGATAAGATAAAAGGGCAATGACAACGTTTTGTTATTTTCACAAAATAAGTTGGTAAATGTTGTTGCGTTTTGGTGTATGTAATTGAACGTTACTTTCAATGTACGGGGTCTGTCATTTGATTCCAATTTTCAACATAGTCTGTTCTGTTATGTCAGATTATTAAGGATTTTTTAAACACTGAATAATGGAACTACTGTACATAGGTGAACGGTGGCGGTTTTGAGTTTTGGCGGTTTTCATAAATATGAGTGATTCCAGATATTCATTTAAGACACTTTCTTGAACATATACTTGATAATTGCAAGTTCGCATTATACTCAATAATTTCACTATTTCATTATTTTACAGCAATTGACGCACAAACGAAACAGTTTTGCAAAATTTATGGAGTTTGTTGTTAAGAAGAATTATACTTTCTTTTAATTTGTCCTGATCTGTATATTTACAATCATTTTTATTTATTTTCCATGTTATGTTTGTTTGCAATATAAGCTGCCAAACAGTGCCGCATTGTTGTTTTATTGCTCAGTATCCTGTCAAGGGGTTGTTAGACAGGCCTAAATCCGTCAACATTGAGGGCGAAAATCGCGCATCCTTTGGCACGCAGTCCATCGTTTAAATCCAATCCAATACTCTACTGGTGGCGAATAAAATTTTGTAAGTTTTGGAAACTCCAAGATTACTTCATTTAAGAGCCTTATAAACTACTATATATACAATCGAAGTTGCCTCTTAGTCTTGTGTTAAGCCTTGATGTCGCGAATGTGTGACACATATATATCCCTACTGATCATAACTGCAACTAATGATCTAAATAAATATTCAATATATGTTCAACTTCATTATATGTTCAATATTACCCGGAATACTCATATGAATCCACTGATTACATATTATACAAAGTTAGTCACGCACAATCCCATTAAACTGCAATGTTACTGTTATCCCATATAAAAAAAAATCAAGTAAAGTTCATTCATTCTAAATTGCATTGTCTACGAAAGCAGTTTATGTCGTGATTTATTTCCATTTCCTTACTGTTTAAATGTTTAAACTAATACAGAAGAAGGCGTACCATACGTTCCGCGAAATCTAAAGCTGCAGCATATTGATTACAGCTGTCTGCATAACAAGTACCGGCATGTATGTAGGGCTTGTAGGCTACAAAGTGATCGCTCAGTAACGTACATAGTAAGGTAATTGTCTGCAGATAAGCAATTTTAGAAAAGTTTCGGATGGCTCTACAAACAGGGTGTAACTAATAGAAATAAAAGCATCAAAAATGTAAAATACTGGATACTATATATTTTTAACTATGTCATCTATTTGAAACTGAGAACAACGCGTTAAATCTAAAGAAGCATAACGGTATCAGGTAAAAAGAATATCTAGCATATATATAATAGTCTGTAACTGTTATTCTTCAAGCAGAGTTTTAACCATGAGTTTATTCACCACAAGAATCATTATGTCAAAAAGAAATTTACGGTCGCGAATTGCTACAATTTGTCAGACCAACAACTTTGGAAGTACACACTATGTGAGGAGATATTTTGGTCATGTTGACTCAGAAATCGTTCGGGCATATGAAGGAGAGAGAGTGGCGGAACAATATGCAAAATATAGGCCTTCTTATCCAACTATTGTGCCGGACGCTATCATGAAATATTTAAAGAAGGGGCGTTTTGTAAAAGGGCAAGGAAAGTATGGGAAAATGCTCGATGTTGGATGTGGAAATGGTATATTGTCAACACAGATATTTGCTCCACATTTTACCTCAATATTGGGGATAGATATTAGTGAGGCTCAAATAAATAAGGCACGCAAGTTGAATACGTATCCGAATATTGTTTATGAAATTAGTGATGGATACACATTTCCTGTTGAAGATAGTAGTGTTGATTTGATCACTTGTGCATCGGCAATTCATTTTATGGATGTAAAGAAATTTGAAGAAGAATGCGAACGTGTTTTGAAGCCTGGTGGCTGTTGCGCTGCGTATGTCCTTAATTTTAGAACAGCTATTGCCTTCGGAAAAAATCGTCATCTGGCACCGTTGTCGTTGAGAGGCATACTTGTTAATTACTTTAATAACATTCAAATGCACCCACGGAGTTTCTCTGCAATAGATGGCAACCGAACAGTCTATAACCAAATTCAAAACAACTCAAAGGCGTATCTTCATCTGCTGAGACAGTATAAACGCATGAGATTTTCAGAGTTCAAGGACATATTTAGAACAGCTGGAGAATATATTACTATGATGCAAAACAGCGAAACACGTATAGACCCGGTTGAAATACTTGGCAACGAAATGAAAGAGGGTTTGTATTTAGAAGACACTGCCGATAATGATATCGAACTTATTGTTGAACATGAATATCCTACCTTCGTATTTAGAAACCAAAAATAATTTACAAAAATGTATCATGTTCTATGCTATTACATAACAAATTACCTCATGAATGATTCACATTATTCAGTGCGCAGCAATTCAGTAATCACATTGCATGTTGAACCGCCTTGTAACAAGTTATCAAGATTTAGAAGAAACACCGTTCCACTCGCGCTGTATATCACCATTTGCGTTAAGCTATATTGTCATTATGCACAAAGAGAGTTTCTCGGTATTCGATTCATTCAACTATATCCGGTGAAGTTCAAAGGTCAGCAAGCATCGCCACAGGACTATCGTGCTTTTTCCGGGATATATGGCACCATGTTTCATTGATTACTTCCATTGTATACCCGTTACAGACTTCATTTTTATAGTCCAAGTATGGCACTGGACTCGTATGCTCACAATCTGTTGTTTACTAATCTTCCAATGCCTCAACGCAATTGCATTTTTCCATTTGCCTCATTTTGTACGTAAACTGACTGGTATAACATTGGATTGACGGCTTAATCATACGGTTATGTTTTTATGAGAATAGTTAACCAGGTATTCATTTCAGATGCATGAACTTGAATATTTTATATACCATAAGAATGAAGCAATAGCCCTCGCAGGATTTTTTTTTATATTGTAAGTGTATATTATTGAAGAGCTATTTGGTGTGGATATTGCTTTGATAACTTGTAAAAACAGTCATATTTTCATCATTAATATTATTCCATGTTCAATTATACATTCATTTTCACTATAAGATAGAATATACATATCTATAAATGCACCTTTGCCTAAGAAGTGATCATTTTTATTTTAAATGACGTTTTTCGTCTTTGAGACAAATAAGATCAACTTTATTCTATGGACATTGTTCGTAAAAAAGTATATATTTAGCAATAAATTTTGTTTTGGAACTCGACGATTGCTGTCCACAGATAGAAATCAGGGGACAAATAAAATTCACAACAAAATGGATAAAAAACTTTATTATAAAATACAATGGGTGTATGTTGAATGAAGCGCAATGTAAGTTATTCCGTGGCATGCCTGCAGGCAAAAGAATATATGAACACAATTATTTCAATGCAAAGAACAAAAATGGAATGTTCATTGATATCAAGGTTTTATGAGACTTCATTAAAAATTTAGTGTCATTAAACAAAATGAGTAGTAATTAATGAAACGCCTTGTCAAAATTCAGGTATTTTACAGCAATACCTTTTAGAACATAACGCCTCTTATAAATATGAAACTGCTTTTTACTTTTTATTGATTCGCGTGAAGAAGCCATATCATAAAATACAACCGTCGAAAATGGTATTATGTCATATTCTTCCCAAACACGAAAATAGGATATTCAAACTCCACACAAACTTTGATATCTTCGTCTTTTATATCTTCCATATTTAGAGCTATTTTTATATTTTCTCCAAGTGTTTCGACAGGATCAACAGATGATCTGCGTTTTTTTATTAATATCTCATAATCACCATAGCTTCGAAAAATATCTTTGAACTGATTGAGCGACATATTTCTTTCGTAATATATGCTTTGCAACCACTCCTTGTTTTGGGTTTTCAATTGTTCGTAAATTGGCAGGTTGCCATCAAGAGCTGCTACATTTCTAGGATGAGCGTCTATATCAGAAAAATATTTCAAAACTATATCTCTCAAGAACACTCGGTGGCGTTCTGAGCCATTGTCATCGATGTCAGCATTTTTAATACTTTTATAATTCGTTGTATAAACGGCACAGCAACCATCAGATTTCAAAACTCGGTCGCATTCTTTTTCAAATTTTTGTAGGTCTAAACATTGAAGAGACGATGCACAAGTTAGCAAATCAATGCTGTTGTTTTTCACTGGTAGTACATGGTCATTAATGATTTTGTAAGCCACATTTCTATCTCTGTTTGACCATATTGCGAGATGTATTTGAGATTCACTCAAATCAACCCCTAGTATTGACTCAAAATATGGCGCAAAAATTTTAGTCGACAAACCGATACCGCATCCCAAGTCAAGCATTCGTTCAAATTGTCTGCTTTTATTAATCCTTCCTTGTTTGTTGGCCAAATGCTCAATAATGTCATCTGTTAATTTAGTAGGATAAGAAGGACAAAGTTTCGAGTAATTTATTGCTAATTCATCTCTTTCGTACAGACGATTATGTTCCGGATTTCTCATAATATTCCGACGCAGGATAGGAAAACCAGATGCCTTTTGAAGTAATTGAACAAGATTTTTCCTCACGTACATTTTTCATTTATATATATAAAACAATGAATTCCTCAGCATAAAATTAGAATATTTTCTAGAGATATAGCAGTATTATCTAGAAAAATCTAGAAATTTTTCAAAACAAATTACTATACTGTATATACAAAATATTTATTACTGATATATTTCATATCTCGGTATACTTTGCATCCGAGTTATATGTCCGCTACGATTTGGCGTTTTCGTAAAAATAACTGCCGAATCCTACCTCTATTTTCCATACTTACGAGGCATCCAGTTTCTATTGAAATGTGTACAAACTGAAAAACACTCGATCTCTTTGCAGTATGCATATAATCGTCGACTAACATAGCGTCAAGGTACTGGCTTAGATCAAGAAATAGATATTGCTTTTTTAATAATTTACGCGTGATAGAGTTCACATCCTTATGTGAAAATCAAAACTATGAACTCTACGCAACGTTACGTTCAGGTCTCTTGCTATCTTACGTACAGTCTCATCTGGTTGTATATTATTCCGGATCAGGTCGTTTATATCCGTCGTCTACATTTAAATGGAGATATATAGCGTGACAACGTGATTCAGCTAATCTAAGGATTTTGAGGTCACTTGACCTTCTTCTCTGCGCAACAGGTAATATGTAATGTCACCTAGATATTGAGTGAACCTTGCTTTGTTTCGAATGATCGATAAAAGTATGGTTCGTGCAGTTTAATGTATGATTAGACGGAGAGGGATCGAAGTGAAAAAATTGATCAATATTTCCCAGCTGTGTTTCTATGTGTGCATAATTTATGCATATCAGTACCCGATCTTTCCCTGAGAATACATTCGTTTTAACCAACTCCTGATTTTGAGTCAGTTAAATAGCTAATAACTGCAACTTGTTATTGCTTCCTTTATGCTATCTTCATATTAATATGTCTCATTTACTCGAAACAACTTCATCAATTCAATTCATTTTATTCAAGCTATAGGTAATTCCCACTCTCGCTAAAGACGAAGTTCTTATGTGCACTTGTATGTGGGGAGATGCAGAGTTTTTGAAATTTCGAGATCAGACAAGATCGAATGTATTCAACGTGGTATGGTAGTAAATACTAGAATCAACTCACTCAACAAACTTTCATATCGGAACGGCCGTCGCCTTCGTCGTGTAAAGTCCGTCGCACGACGAAGCCTCCATAACTTAACCAGCTGTCGGATTGATCAGCAGACTAATTTATAAATACATTAATAAATAACTATCTAGACTAGAGGGTATTTCGTGTCAAACATTTATACAGTAATTGGTGTGTGGATCATTACTCCTTAATCGGTCGTTAATCTTGAGGTATTCTGAATGTAAAAAGCATGAATAGATAATGAACTCTGGCAATCGTTGGTCAAATAAAAAATTGAACGATGACGTTTTGCACGTATATCTAGTGGTGGCACTAAAGGTTAGGAATCTGAGATATACTACTATGAACGGTATCGAGTGAACAATCTCACTCATGAGAGAGGTATTTGTATCTAAATGTCTTAATAATGTATACGTTAACACTCACCCGACTTCACATTCAAGACGATCAGATGTAAATGAGTTATATAGTAGTACAACCACTGCTGCTTCCTATTCGGCACATTAATTAATATATCAAATTCATTCGTGATCGAAATTGCACAAACGTGAATGTAATAGGTTATATATCATATATTTTAGAAAGCCAGTTAGAATATTAGATTTATAGTACAATAACACATATTTGAGATCAACTGCCTAATCTGCCTCTTTGTCATATAAAATCAACAAAGTAAGCGAAACTCAATATTACCATGGCATGAAATCAATTCAATGTCGACAGCCATTGTGATGACAAGATACTTGGACAAAATTGAGAATTGTTACAGTGCTTTACATTCGAATAAACTGAATATTTTTGGTAGTTGATTTGAAGCATGTACGGTTTGTTGCACTGAAGTTAGTCACAATGATTAACGACAGTTACGCTTTAATCAAAAAAATAATACGTAGTTTACACTCAGGGCTTGTTGATTTTTCAAATAATAGTTTCCGGATTCGGAAACGTCATTCATTCTTCAACTATTCTTTCAATTTATTCAAAGTGAAATTATGAATCGTTTTGTAATTAAGTTGGTGTTGTTGTTTGTTCTTGTTGATATTTTTCTTCTTCCTATTGTTATGAAGAAAAAAAACGCTCTTATCATTTACTACTGGACCAATTTCTTTGAAATTTTATTACTGGTATTCTAACTTTTCTGTGGCCCCTATGGGATTAGTTTTTTCTGTGCGATGCGCTCCTTGCGGCGGTTTGGCTTTCTCGAAAGTTGATATCTGGTGGTACGTCAAAGTCGGAAAGTCTGCGGAACCGTAATCTACTTCTATTATATTGCTAGAATCTTTTAACCTGCAATATCCTCACATAACAGTGCGGCCTTTTACGACCTGTCACAACAACTGTGTTTTATTCTTTATGCAACTGATATATAAAATGATTTCTAATTATTTTCAGAAATCTTTTACGCTTTGGAGAAACTACTTTCACGTGGACAAAATGATAAGCCATTTCAATAGTTATTGTTTTTACTCTGCATTAGTCAGTTTTATCAGAGTTAGTGGTCATTCTTAACAATTTATTTGCTTGTGTCCTATATTACATTCTTGTGTTGCGTCTATTAAAAGTTATATATACGTAGGCAGACAATATGGGTTCATTGTTTACCCGTCACTTTTAGTATGAAAACCGAGTCACTGCCGAATCGAGTTTCAAAATTTTTATTGATGATAGACTCACATGTCACTAATATCTCGAGAGGGGACAAAGCTGTATATTGTGTATAATACATTCCATTTCGAAATTATTCTTATGATGTTTTTCGATTAGCCATGCTCCGTAAGATCAATTGAAATCATACGCCTTTGGAATACAAATGAAATATAATAAGCATTGATTACAAGATGACCTTTCTATATTTGTCTTCAAACATTCCTATCAAAAATGAAACAAGATTTGCGCAGAATTATTAATATATATGGATTTTTTAAATGGAAGCAAATTCATTTTATTCTGTGTCAAACAAGTGTGTACCAAACGGTGACAAGTTAGGTTATATATTATGAAATCGAAAGTGAAATATTCTTTACGAATATGTCTTGAATATCTTGATCTATGCCGTCTGCTGTTGGATTAGGTTATGTAGGCTGACGTTAGGATAGTATTTACATATTTAAACTTAAATCTAAACAAACTCATTCAATACTTTTGAAATAGATTAATTAAGCATCTCTTACTTCAAAAAACGAAAACATTGATAACATACGTTTTCTAGGAGCATACGACGGACCTCCTGAAGTAGGCGCACCAAGATGGCGCACAACCTGAACTCAGGTTGTGTACCAGGTTAGGGTTCAGGTTATGCGACATCTTGGTGCGCATACTTCAGGAGTACCCATACGACAGACGACTTTTACCTGCCAGCTACCGGCATTCTGATACCTCAGCTAATTATTGAACTCTGAACCATCCGCATCTCTCGCCCTGAAACCACCTTAGTTTATATTTACATCTTTTTTGTTTAATACCAATAAATTTATTTTCCAAAAATCGAAAATCGCAAATAAAACAATAATCGCCATAAATAGTTCTAAAATATCAAAAGAAATATCATTTGTGAGCATGTACATAGCCTACTATGATAGAACACACATATTTGTAAATACCCAAATAAGTTATACGCAAAGATATCGTATCTGATCAAAATAGACGAAAACACAAATAAATAAACAATACTAACGAGAAAAAGGATAAGCATAACCCCAGAAATCTTCATTATAGCAAATGGAATGTAATACCACTACAAGCTATGAATTTCCCAAATACACAAAATTTTGGAGCGAACACCTAAAAGAATGTGTGCCAAATTACTATTTATTAAACCTTCATTGCGAATGCGAATCGAAAAGGTGTCCAGCCCCAGTAGGATTTTTTCCATGTCATGATATGGTACATAATATTATAAACACGTTATCTACATAATATTTCCGATTACATCCATCGAATTTGCTGCCGAGTTGACTGGAGGGCATACTTTGTTATTCTCATAAATATTTTCGATCGTAAAACTTATTTAAAAAAAGGAAAGAAAATTAAAGTAACATGAAAAAAACGCACGAAGCGGCTGTATTGAAGTTTCTTGCTAGTTCGTGATGCAAAAAGCTGATAAATAAAAGCCACCAATGCGATTATGTGACACCCTAGTTTTTCATAATAAAATATCTTCAGAACCACTGTGGAAACACAACTTGTGTAAAAACCAACCATCTTGTATCGAATTTTCGTTGAAGTCCGTGTAAAATAAAGCTTTCATAAGAGATGTTTCGTGATATTTATGGAACTTTTTCTAAAGAAAAAGATCGAAAACAAACGTTGCCAGGATCCGCCGTCAATATTGTAAAATAGCAGTCTGTCAATATGCCATTTAATTGTGTTCCATTTAACTGTTGTATTGGCCACTCGTGACTTTAATTTTGCTCTTTTTGACTTGAATTATACTCGCATTTAGCGTTGTACTGCGGTCATTTATGCTGGAACGTTTGATTCCACCATAACGTACACAATTCTATTCAGAAACCGGGAACTGATTTTAGTCCGAGCACGATTCACAACACGGGTTCAACGATCTAAGAGAAGCAAATTGGCACTCGGGACTGCTGCAGGTTACTCTCTCACATTGTTCTTGCGATGATATACATTGACACGATATACACGAACCAGTCGTCCATCGCTCTCCTTCGTGGTAGAATCGCCCTTCTTCCGATAGGCAACCGCTTCCTGAAAAAGAAGAAATAAGTTGAGATAAACATTTTTGTTTAACTGTATGGCTAAACCCACTTCTGAGAACGTGAGACTCAAAAACGTAAGGTACTCAGTTATGCTATACTATGTAATTCAAGAGTCCTACTGCACACTAACGCCTACATATTTCTGTAATGTTTCGTCTGACCAAAGTCAGACTTCCACAGAGGAACAGTCTACACTTATGCTGTAGAGGTATATGGCAAAATGTATCTAGAAAGGTCGAATTAGGTTCGCATATTTTGTGGGTAATAGGACGTCATTGACGTCAAAATAAATGGAATATGATTCCAAAACAGTCTGCTTTTCAGTGTACTGTTCTAGCACCCAACTAAATACCAAATTGGAAGTAGACTAACCTACTGTATACTGTCAGCGACTCAGCGGTGAGTGTTAATACAACAAGGACTGTAAACATGTTTTTCATGTAATCCCACGAGGATTATTACATCTATGTTTTGCATAAAATTAATATATAGTATCAAAAAAGCGTGTGTGCCGGTTCACACACCCTGACGTGCAAAACCTATCTGAGTTTGAACATACGTTGACTGAATAGAATATGTAAAAATGTAATCTGGATTCTATGAATAGGTCAGTTTTTGGCGCCATAAATTGGGACCGGATATATTATGAGCTTTTTCATCCGGATTTTTGAGCTATTTAGGCGCTTACTGTTTACATATATTTTTGCTTTGAAAAAACAAACCATGTTCTAAGCAGGTGTGAACGGAAGTTTCGCCTTCGATACGGTACATAAATTTGTGCACGGAGTATGAAGTAGCGCGCTATAGGTCAACCTAACGGCTATTGAATTTCACGGGATATCTGATATCAAGAAGCACAAACGCGATATTCAGTAGAAACTCGACGTTGTTGTGGGAAATAGAAATTGGTTGAACACATTAATGGAGAGGTGCAAAAATAGTGCAATTGCACACTCTTTAGAGTTTTGAACATCTGCTATAGGCTGAGTTCAAGTCCATGTGCTATAGGCTGTATGATACAGTCTACCGGCATAAAAATCTTTGACTGTACCAAAGATGGATAAATTGCTTTGCCCTATATTAGTACGCATTTAAAGTCTAATTATCCGTTGCCCCGTTTTATTAGTTTGTGCTAAAAATACTCAGCCTTAGGCATACTTATCAGAACGCCATCAGACAACAAAAGCGTTCGGGTTGAACCTACCAAAACAAGATCCATCACTAACACACGATGGATAAACGATGAATCTTTGCCAACAGCGTTACTCATCTACGAACGTATGAAACTAGTATCAAATTCTAAGGTTACGATGTTTTCGATTCTACTTCCAAAACAACAATTTATGAATGTTTATTTTTTTTTATACACTGTAAATGCTGGCATTAACTGTGTATTTTGTAATAATTATTTTGTGTAAATAAAGAGATTTGGTTACCTAAGTACATGTTATATGGCCACAATGACAAGTTTACACCAAATACTTCAACTTCATTTCAAAACAAAGCTATCAAACAACTTACCAAAAAGTTGATTTTTTGTGTGACACGACTTGGTCTTGCATGACTTCCTGATAATTAAACGTTGACGACATTGTCGACCGCCTTTTGACGGTTCCTGTAAAATTTCTCTGTGCTTTGTTCTAAATGACCCTGATCCGCATGTTTTTGAACACGGTGTCCAATCGCCCCACGGAGAAACCTTGCATCGTGTATCTGGAAATTATCATTTTTTGATTTACAACGGCAGTGGAACAAACTATTTCTGATGACTTTAATGACCTAAATCGATGCGGCGTTTAACTTAACCTTTGTATTTACGTAACCTAAACGGGTTGCGAGTTTTTAAAATAGGAGGTATCGCAAATTGCTCTGAACTTATCCATCGTGAATACCCTAACAATTGTGGTCAAAATTATAGCTTTGGCAATTTTAGATTTTTCGGTTCATAGCTCAAGTTCAAGACTAATGACTTTCTGATGTGTTTGGCTGAGAAGCATGACCGTCGAATAATACGAATTCAAAGTTATGATAATATATATGTCTTTGCTTGGTAGATATAAGTATTTTTAACACAAAATCAAAATGAATCTTGACAATTCTGTCACATTAAGTAAAAATCATCTGGGTATTTGAGTGGAGACAGGATTTTACGCATGGATGACAACAACCACATAATTTAGACATGTTTATGATCGTTAATGCTGAGTTTCCATGCTTTAACTATACAGTTCATACAAATTTCACCGCTTCCAAAATCGCAATAGTAATGAGGTTTTATTATCAAACAAAAAGTTTTCAAGTAAATTCATTATTTTGCAAAATTGTGGAATATATATATTTTTATTTAGTGCCAGTTCATTCAAAACACAATAACTATAACTACCTGATTTTTCGATGAGTGCGCAACTTTCTCCTTGACAATTTCGAGTTTCGTCAAGAAGATGACAAAGATGTCCACGTGGATGAGAAACATTTATTAACACTTGGTGTCGTCGTTGTATACCTCCACCACAGGAAGCAGAACATTGACCCCAATCTGACCACGTGACCTCGAAGCAGATGTCATCATGTATGCCCATTTCTAAAACGTGGTCTAAAATAAATGACAACATTATTATACACGAATACAGAGAAAACGCCGAAATTTCAAACTATTTGAAACATACCTAGTAAATGCTGCGCATTCAAGCACGATCCAACGTAACAATGCGCTGTTTCTTGAAAATGCGTTGTGGAGCAATCTATTAGTGACGTCATCGTGGCTTTGGTAGTGGGCGCTCGTGTCCGAGATCTCATACGACGTCCACTTCCACAAGTCGCTGTGCAGTGACTCCAATGAGACCATTCAGTAACGGGACAGACTGGTAGAACTACAAAAAAATATAAATTGATGATAAGGTTGGAAAAATATTTAAATTATATGTGTTGGGTGAAAAAAGAATACGTACCATCGCAAGGAAGACGAGAGCACATTTCAGCTTCACTCATGTGAGGGCAAAAATTACCCCCGTTTCTCGATGGTATAACGACGCTTCTGTAACGTCGCCTCATCCCGCCCCCACATTCTTGTATTGGGCATTCACTCCATGATCCCCAAGATGATTCCACACAGTCCACGACCCCCGAATTACATCGGTGACAACATTTTCCAGGAGGTTGATACGCCCCACTGCAATTTATGTAAGGACATTTTTCTTGTGCACATCTCTTTTCTCCTCCGGCACAATAACAATGAGTACAAATATCTGTAGGGAAAAAAATTCCAATTTTAATTATTGTTGGTTTGCTTGAAAAAATGACAGCGTTCACCCGACAGAATCATGATAGCTTCAAATTTTTCAACAAAACCAGTGAAACGAATATTATTTTGCAAAATATATGGAAATTATTGTAACATTATCTCCAATCAAACGCTTAAGAGGTATGGCCTGCCAATTTCACCCAACTGAAATGGACTTGTTCATTTTACTCATTCGCCCAAGATGACTAATTTTATGCGCATTCCATACATGGGACTGACCTCTAAACGGATTTTCTCTCCTAAACAAGAGATAATAGAATATATCAGCTATGTCGTGAAGCAGCTGCTATGACGCAAATGAACTAATCCATCTTTTCAGATAAATGACCTTCTGGTTTTTGTTCTACGTACGCGAGGAGATTATTTTCCAATAAATTTTGATTATGTTTGCCCAATGCAAATACTAGAATACGCAAACACATAGCAAACAAAGTTTGATTTTAGGTTGGCGATATTTGACAGTATACCATATGCATAATACTTCTTGTTTGAGAGACTTGGAAATTACCATTTCCTGAGATTTATTTTAAAACCTATATTTTAACGAATAACGTTACTGTCAATAAATTCATTTTTGGGTATTCATACGTAACAGGACAAATATTTTTGGCTGTCAACTTGAAATTTTTTTTCCAAATCCATTTCATTTATCTTGAATTCACAAAGACAGTGTATTTTGTTTTATATCTTACTTACATCTTATGACTGAACACTCAATTTTTCCAATATTCAAAAAAACCTAATGGCCTGGCATATGATACTCTTTTTGTAATACCCATGTTTATGTGGGACAATCAAGAATATAAGTTCAATAACAATTGGGCTTTGCATCCACTCAGATCAACATCCTAACAGCAATCAAACCGCATCATATCGACTCTCTATATAGAATTTAAGGTGAATTAATTGTTCGACTTATTATTAAAGTATTAGAATATCCTGTTACAAATGAATAGTAAACGACATATCATACCTTCTTTCCATACTTCGCCAGAAGTTATTTTAGTTCCATTCGAGGCATGGCATGAACCTTCGAAACAAATCGGGCAGCACTGACCAGGTACTGAAAAATATCAAGTTTATTTTATTTAGTTATCTTAAATAGTTTAAAAAACAAAAATAAAATACAGCGTGTTTTACATACCCTTTATTGGTTTGTCACAAGTTGGAACTTGACAATCTTCAACTGAACACAAGACCTTTCCCTTGTCGCACTCACAATATGTACAATCATCCAAATGCCACTCATCGCTGTGTTTGAATCGACGACCATCTCCAGCTTCACAAAGTTTTTCTGAATAAAAATGAATTCTAACGTATTGTCAATTGAACAAATATAAGTTGAATAAAATAGGAATAGGATACTGACAAATTTTGTGATTAACGCCTGGGTGGATGATAGATGATACAAATGATCTCTTAATATACAAGTAGGTACGTAGGTGACACAGCTGCCAGGTGTTGGGAATCCAGATTCTAATCTGGGTATTCAATGTTTATAGAAACTTGAGACGTTTCGAGCAACCGAAATAGAGATGCATTTTCACTGTTTCACTTTTCGTATTGCATTCTTATTCTCATTAATTTAATATAACTGTGGATGCCAGAAGCCAACTTTGTATCTCGACATAGTTTGATTATAATACCCATTCTGTAACATTGGCGGGACCATCGCGAATATGAAGCCAAATATTTTCGCGTGACCTCAGTTCCTGATCAAAACATGGCCTTTTAAGCAGTCAATAGGGCTTAGATTTAAAGAGTGCATTCGTTATTTAGTAAACAGTACAGGCCACCCTAGGGGTCTCTTGTCAAGTGTCTCTCATATTTTTGGCGTTATTTAACGACATGCAAACAAAATATGGTATAAGTCAGAAAAGGAGAAAATAATTGATGCTTGGATTCGTATATACATATATCACATTTTCCCGTACATAAATTAGAGTTACAGTCGATTGAAATATTGAAAAGTGCTTATTAGGTTCTTTGACGCTTCCTGCTGGATAACCGCAAAATCGTAAATCAATTTTTATATGTTGACTAATAAGTGAATTCTTTAAATTCGAATTTCTCCCCTGTAAATATAACCACGAGGTATCGTAATATTACCACAATATCCTAAACTTCAAGGTCAAAAATGAAACGTCTAGACTGAAAATGTAATAATCGTATTTTATTTATTGAATACAAATATCCATTGTACGATGATGAATCTAAGATGTAAATCAGAAGAACTCTTCCTATTTGATTTATGACGTAATGTCTGTCGCAGACGATAACAGGTAATAATTACACAGAAAACTTTGTAATTAACCCTCGCAGAAGTTTGAACACATTCTTGAATTTTAGTGTCGAATAAAAGATTTTTTAATTAAATTCACAAGTGTGTGTTTATAGAATGGTATTTTCTCCAACGCACTCCTGACAGCACCTTCATTGTGTAAAAGTCTTATCAACATAAATTAGTAATATCATTAAATCGGAATTGTCCCATAAACTATAACATGAAAACGACAGGCATATATATTCTTAGACGCTTAAATTACATGTATGAAATACGTACTGCACGTATCCAACTTTTATAAAATCTGGCCATGTGGAATGTAATGTACTTTTTTATGAATGGGACTATATGGAAGCAGCCAATTATGAGTATTCAGCGTATCAAAATCTTTTTCCACGATTGGAAAGAGATTATGCTTTTTTTTTTATTCATTCAATCTATCTCGCTGAATCATCCTTGTGGCAACGGAGATATACGGATCCGAAGTAAGAAATAAAGAAGGAGGGAGGACCTGCAGTTCAGTACACATGACGTACCCTCTGAAATTCTAAATCTTTTGAGTGAGTAGATGTTTCAGAATGTTCAGACTTTGCCCAAGATTTGAGATCCACACATCGCGATGACAATATGAATAGTGAGATTGTAACAAGGTATGCCAACGTACCTGGACATCTTGGACAACAATCTCCGTCAGTTTGAATTTGGTCTTCACATTCTAATTGAGGGCATTGTGGACGTTCACAAACGACCCTCGAAGATTTGCAGGAACAGGATACGCAGGTTGTTTCGTTCCATGATGAGTCAACAACACCACTTCTCATGAGTCCTCGTTCACAACGATCAACTGAAAATATATAGATAGAATAATTAATAATAAAATGAGTGGAACCGAGAATTTAAAAAATTGGTTTAAACTTCAGGTAATTTAAACAGTTTCAATACTGAACTAGACGCACTGGGGGAAACCTGAAACACACATTTTGTCAACTTTTTACCAATGTGCAAAAACGCATTTATTTATTCTTGTGATCATATTCCCTAATTACGCGAAACAAGACCATCTGTATTTATGACCATCTGTATATTATGTGATTAGTTTATAATCCCAAAGCTACTGTGATAGAAACATAAAACACAATTTGAAATATTATTCCGCATCATTATTTATTTTCATTGATGAACTCGTTAAAGGTTTAGTCAAATTATATTACACTGAACTTGCAATTTCGTCATTATACCCTTATCAGACCGAATTATTTCATTCTGAAATCAACCACAGTAATCCGCCACGAGGCAAATAGATATTCGACCGTATCGATACCAAATGGATAATCAGATTGAAATTATGAAATAATGTTAAATTTGCTTGAATTGAATGATAAATCAGTGTGTACTAGATTATTGCCACAATACAATTGCACAAAATTATGAAACCAATTTTCAGTTTTGCGGCCGAATGGGATCAGCAGTACTAATGGTATTTTCTATACATATGCAAAAACTGAAATCGCTTTGTCCATGAAATCGCATATATCTTAAATTAACTTTGACTCAGAATTGCCTTAAAAGATAATACGTTGGTATAAAAATTTACTTCGATTCTCAAAAAAAACATGCAGTTTTATAAACGGTGTTTCAAATAATGGTGTTTCTACTCAAATTAAATGCTAAATGACTTTATGTCTCTGGTCATATAGTTGAGTACAAAGCGAAAACAATTAGGTCATAACATATCAAAGTAGATCAACAAAATTTACAATAATACAGAACAAAAATCGTCAACAAAACAACAGCGCGTTGCTGCGGAATTTAGTGCGTTTAGTCTCACCGCTGATTCCTTATTGAATCACGTGGAAAGAATGCTGTCGTATTCTGATTTACGTCCGTGTTACACTGTTTCAATGTAACTCAAAAAACCTAACATTTTTGAGAAAATTATGGGAAAAACATGACGGCATAGATATGATTTATGATAGAAATTTGAAAAACAATTCAACTTCTGGCGGAGATTTATTATAAGATTACTTCTGAATACACAGAAAAACAAGCAAACGTGACATACTTCACGTTAAATTGGAAACTCTGCAGATAATATGTTTACCTTTGTAATCTATTGTCAACGGAGTCGTGTGTACATATCAAGGCTCAAGTTTATTCAGAGTATTATTAATCTCAGATTCTGGCACGATTTCGCACGAAACGAAACTTGTAATTACCCAGCATGATTGCAGAAACGTGTAGAATTTTATTTGCTAATCGCAGTAAGTCATAAACTTGTCTTTTATAGAGGAACTTCGATCAGTTTTTTGTGCCGGCAGCTCGTAATATGCGAATGGATTAAATTTGATTTTAGGAAATACCGTTAAATTCAATGGTAGAAACATTTCAATTTACTTTTAACCAACTGCTTCATGCACACAAGAGTCTGTATGTACAGAATGATTATCAAAAAGGGCGCACAACACACAACCGTTTTTGGAATTCGGTCAGATACCAACTTTTTAGACTACCGTACGGTGTAAACAATGATTGTTTTTCCAGGTTGTTTTCAAGTTTCCGACTTTCGTTTTAAAGAATCATATCTTGGTTACATCCAATTTAGTTTCAATAACTTTCAAAAACAACAATTATTAGTTTTTCTTTGGAAAATGACTGAACCCAGGCTGCGGTCAGATTTAAAATCACAAAGCGACAATAGTAATGAAAATATAGCGTGCAAATTTCATTTCACTGCCAGATGTGCTTTCGATTTTATGTGCAGAATATTTAATTTATATATGGTTGTTTTGAATTTATTTTAGGGAGACATTGATGATTTATGATCATCTGTAAACATGTACTAGATATTTTTTAACCGATGTCGCGTTCGGATGAACAGAACATGAAGAAATTCCACGTCAAGCTCAGATGAAAGAAAGGCCACATTAACGTTTTCACATAACTGTACCCCGGTCGTTTTTCAGTACTGTCCGGGTATGAAATTAGGTAGGCAGTTAATTTTTTTTACATTAACATACTTAGGTATGTTTAGTACGTGATCGTATTAAGGAAATTTCATCGGCTAACTCGCCAAGAAATTGTTACTCAGTCAAAAACCGATAGCCTATCAATAATATACGGATGAGCATTCCCCACAAACTCATATTCGTTTACAAATTTTGACTTGACACATCGCAGCATCATTAATACGTTTCATTTTCAAGTTCGTCTGTGTTCATTATACGTGGGTGGCCTTGACTTGTGAGAAGGTTACTTTTAAACTTTCACAGGCCCAAAACGATAAACAACGATTTGTGATTAGAACCAAACATAGATATTTATGGCAATTAATATCTCTTTTAACAAGTGGTAACTTAATCATAAAGTAAACGAAATGGCCATAACCTTTAAGTTTATGCGTTGGCAAGTTACAGTTGTGAAATTGTATATTTTAATGGCGGTTAAATTAGTCATATGATGTGATGCATAAACCCAGTTTCAATGTCTTCCGGCCATTAGTTGTTATTATTTTTATCATACGCTGACCAACGTTTCCAATTTTCATGTGACGTTGTTATGTTTTTCAATGTTTCAGAATCCTTGGTAGACTTCGAGAACTGAACGGAATTATGTCATATGTTTAAACTTTATTGAAATGCATTTGGAATTTTCAAACTCCGGCTTGTAACCAAAATAAAATGAACATTGTTAATAATGGCTTTCGTAGAGACAAAAAAGCTAACTTTTTGGTTGAGGGTAATTTTTTTTAAACCCAATGTTGCTTTACAGAATTATGGCAAAGTTTGGGCTTGACGTGTGGAAGTTTTCACAATATTTTTCTATAGTAGACTGTTTTAATTTTTGTTTTCTTGTTCAGTAAATTGAGTGAGCAATATTTTCACCTAAAACATAAAGTTTGAATTTTTATGACTAAATTAACGACTAATATCCACTTTAAAACAGAAAATCGCTTCCGGGCCAAATTGTCAAACATGCAATTACGTCGATATATCTATGTTTTAGTACTTTGTTCTCATATAATTATATTGAAGATATGTTTATAATCGTAGCTTTCATCGCTTTACAAATAGCAAGTGTCGATATGAATGCATATCTTGACATATTTGTTTGTTTGTTCAATCACCTTTTCGACGTATCAGCCTTATCATATGTTTATTGAATACATCAGGAATACTTTTAAGAGATTTTACACATTTAAAAATAAAATATACAGACTCCTAATGCCTAATGAACATAAAAAAATTAATAAAAACTGAACGAAGATAGAAGATCCCTGTCTAATAAATATTGAAATATAAATTATACCTCCACAAAAGCCAACAAAATGGTTGCTTATTTCGTTGACCCTTGTCCTCTCCGCACGATTTAAAGCGAAAACAATTGTGTATGTCACGCTGAAACTGATATTTCCAGAGTTCCGATTCAGATTAGTGATCTAAGCGGTTGACTTTCTAACTAGGGCCTGTTTTAGTTCGTTTTTATTGTGTGTATAACATCAAAAAAAATTGCTTGTGGTACATTAAATGTACATTTTCACACAAGACGATGATCAGGCATAAAATTCCCAGTGCGAACAATTTCAGTTTCCAATCGCGATTGTTTACAAGACAACCTTCACGCTGTATTTAAGATGATCTTAGTATATTTAGACAATTTCTGAAACGATTTAAGTGACTGAAAACACTGACGAAGTTTGTATTAGTCACTCAATGAACAAGGATTAAGTCCGATACAACGGAAACCAGATTACAAAATAATCGCATGGGCATTGTCAGCATCTTTCATTGTGTTTTTAGTTTAAACAAAAAAAAATTAGCCACTGGGCAACCTGAAATTTAAGGATTTACGCACTCGGTATGTATTTATCCATTTAGAAACAAGATTTACCTGAAGAAATACTTAGAAGTCACATAAGCAACTATAGGTGGCTTATGCTTGAATTGTTTAAAGTCAATCGATAGCAATTAGTTTATATGTTACACTTGCTTATAGCGCAACTATATTTAAATATATAAATTTTTTTTATCCTGGTTGTGCACTATCTATAGGAAAAACAAATTTACAAAAGTAGCACAAGACAGCTCAACTAATCCCGGATATTAGCACAATAATTATGAAGTGCGGAATGTAAAACAGCTTTTAAATACCGTCCACTAAATATAGTCGATTGAAAACCGTAATTGATGGCTCATAAAATAACTAAAACTCAATATTTAAATAAAAAAACTTTTTGTTTCCGTTTACAACTTATCTTGCATTTTTAATCATTGTTTTAAAAACAATTTTTAGTAATCCATCAAAAAACGACATTTTCTTTGCCATTTCAGGGGACATTAATTGGCCGTTGACCTTCCCACTTTTTTCGCTTAGTGGTTTTCGAAAAACGGTTAACAATTTCAATCATATTTTTTGGGTAAGTAAAACTGATGAAAAGCTAGGAAATAATCGAGACGCGTTGGCGAAATATTCATATTAAAAATAGAATGCAGATAGGTCAAAAAGGACCGATATACAATTAGATATATGAGGTTGCATAATTAGTAAGTTACTAATATCTGATGTATAATCTATTGGAAACGACTATAACCAGACACATAGGTGTCAATATATTATGACTTTTCTTCCTTGTGAGAAAAAGTTTCAAAAATTTCAAGAAATGACAATATCCGTGTACTCTTTTTATATTTTTCAGAAGAATAACAGAAATATATCGTGATGTACTTATATATTTCTGGTAAAATAGGATTAAAATCCTTTTAAAGTAATATCGTATTTCGATCTTTATCTCCGTAAAAATGCTGTAAACCGCTCGTGAAAAGAAAAAATTTAAAAATAAAATACGGATTAAGCAATAAAGTCGCAAAATATGCTGTATATGGTTATAACCAAGTTTGCGATTTTATTTTTAAAAATATTTGTATACAGTCTGGTTAGTTCGGACAAGCCAAGCCCAAAAATATGCTATCCTGCTCACGCATTCACGAAAAACGCTAATTTGGATTTATTTTTGAGATAATTCGACAATTTTCACGTTTGATTTGCTATTTTCTTTGTACTTTGTATAAAAAGTTTACGTTATGATTTTTATTCAATGTTTGCACAGGATGTGCCTAGTTTCGTGCTGACAGGGATTCCCATTTTGTTATAATCGAGCGTGAATTCTAGCTTTAACGTTTCTTTATTTCCTGAGTGTTTTCGTGGTTTTGACAGAGAAGCGTACTATATAAAAGTTGTTTCGTTTTTCATCACTTTTTTAATAGATTTCAAAATTTGATGAATAATTTTTCAAGCACTAAAAATACAATTTTGGGCGTGTTCGAGAAAACGAAAATCTTGTCAAGCCCATTTGAAGACATGAGTTTGGATCAAAAAAGTAAGCCTGTGACAATAAAAGAAGTACGACAAAACGAATAACTTTACGAATTTAATAAAAAATATTACTGAATAACTTTACCTTTTACAATCGATTCCGGTTTCCATGTAATTGACCTCACGTCCACCGGGGTCATAGGTTGGTCAACTTGGACCTCTTCGCTCAGTAATCTGTCATCGTCTGTGCTCTTAAATCCAGGTGAGCCACTTTGACCGAAAGAAGGATCTATGTCACCCTCGTTTAATTTACCGCGTCCCCTTTTCCGCTTCCTATTACGTTTTGCCGGCTTTTTGTCATCGTGACCCACGGGGTTAAAATCACTCTCATCCATATCGTCGTTAGCCCCCGTTGGTCCAAAGTTTATGGTCATTATGTCCGGCACCATGGCAGCCAGTTCCTCACTCGGTGTAGAAGGATAGCTCAGATCTAAGGCAATTAGATCATCGTCGGTTTGCGATATCCGAGTACCGGATACAATAGTAAAACAAGTAAATATTAACATTCCAATGTACGCTCCAATTTCCATTTTGATATTTTAATAACTGTTATAATATTTTAGCTTGAGAGTTCAAAGAAATTTTAAACAAAATAATTCTCAAAATCGCACAAAATTTTTAGATCTATCAGAGTCAAATTTTTTTCGTTGATGTAATTATTTATTATTATTTTTCGCACTGAATGTGAAGATCAATGGCTTAACTATTCTACATAAAATACTTGGAAGTAATATATCCTCAACACTTATTTCACCCATCTCAAAAAACGATATGAGTGATAAAACACGTTCCACAAATAGAAAATGCATTAGGAATCGATAGCCTTCTGACCTGATAGCTAGGTCTTTCATTGCTGGCAACTGGCCCAACTAAATCGGTGAATTCACATTTTTAAGGAGAAGCAAAATATTACATGATTCACATGTAAATATATAAAATATTTATTCAAACATTCGGACTAAAAATACTTGACGGGATCTGTCTAATCTTCCAAAGTACCTACAAATGCTTTAGATAAAATAAAATAAGTTTTTGTTTTGTGGCAGTGCTGAAAATTTAATTTTTGTACGGGTGCAGTATAAGTTTCTAAACATTTTGTTGAAACCAAAATAAAGTAACCTACAATTTATCAACAAAGATAAATAAATACTGTAGTTCAAAAATTGGAGTTAATCTTAAGTCAGTCATTTTGCTTGTGAGCGATAAATCGTTATGTGGGTAAATCGCGTGGACCGGCTACATTTCAAATTGTCAAATATTTATTATAATTCTTTCATTCAAAAAAAAAAACAGCTGAACGATATTCGACTAAAACTAACATCAAAACTTTGCTCATACTTTACTGTGTCGCCGTCCAAAAGTAGGGTCGTCTACTTTCATATCTGCCTTCTCTGTGTCTAATATAATATGGACATTGAAAATCATGTCCCTTCAATGTCGAACGGATGCGAGCAATTTCCAATTCGACTTCGCACTTCAATTGTTCTACAATCTTTTGCCGAAAATCCTCGCTTTTTATTACGGCGAAGTCTTACCGCACTGACTGACGACACGACTCCAGCGTTCCTCTTGTATTACGGACCTAACCACGACTAAAGTAAAAATATCACGAAATAGTTAGACAAATATTTGTGCAAGCGTGACGCTTTTTCTCCGCTCAAACGCTCGTGTTGTGGAGACCAATGTCGTACACCGTGTCGACCGCGGAACAAAACCTCTTTCTAATATTTCAAAGCTACTAAGTTGAACAATAAACAATAAGTTCCGTGTCAGGTTCAATTTTGTGGCTGAAAAAGTGGTTCAGTCCGTTTCCCCGATTGTAATTTATTATAATGGCTCTTTTCAGGATATATTAGCCCCGGGTCACTGCACGCATATTTGGCAAATGGTGCGTTTTCTACAAAAAAAATCAAGACGATAACAAGACCACTTAATGGAGTAAACGAGGGTGGTTTTGTCTGAACGAAATCTTGATTCAAGGTTTGTATAATCGTCTATTTATAGAACAATACAATAGATATAAGAATAACGCTACGTTAGAAGATAACGAAATTCACCAGTGACGTAGCATGAAATCAAATCTATCACATTTTGATATTTGAAAATTAGATATTATAACAAAATGGTTTGATCAAACATTATTACTATACGACATAACATACGACAAGCAAGTAAACAAAATATTTTTGCATTAGACATGCCAATATAGTCTTATACTCAAAAAATATTCAAGAATTTAGTTTTCTAATGAATCGTAAGTAGCGCGACGCCTCATTTTACAAAATACACGATAAAATATGTTTTCAACACTTCACACTAACGAGGTCAAAACAACAAGAATGTCAAACGAATACTGAGAAATAACAAGTCAATGCGCAATTCAAACCACGCAACTTAAACAAATTCTAAACAAATGTAAAATCCTATATATGTGCATATATTGGATATGCTGTAAAGGTAGCTTATATGCTTATGATATATAAAAGTAAAATAGAATATTTTGAACTTTATTTGACGCAGAACTTGCGTATATGGTTCCACATTCCACTTCCGTTATCGGCGTCTATTTATCCAAGTTATATTTACATTTCCATCCAATACCATATCTGCTATCACTGTTCAAACAAGTCGATTGGGGTTCATAGGCGGGTCAAAGGTAGATTTGACATTTATCCTGAAAATTGAAACGGGCTGTGATCACTGAAAATCATTATCGATAGAGAGGAGGGAGAAATAATAAATTAGAAAATGGAAGGACTACCACAGCTAGAAATTCTTCCCAAACGAGAGTTTCTTTTCATTATTAAGTGGGTTTTCCTGAGAATTTTGTAGTCCGCGATGCAAATCATTGCGTTATGGTTCATAAAATGTTACTGTCCATGAAGTTGGAGCCTTCTAACTTAATTGGCTATTTCCTGTATCAGTTGATATTAGCTTTCATGTCAAGAAATTCATCAAAATATATTCATTCATGCTTAGTAAAAGATGTAGCCGACGTGATCTATTGCAAGGCCAGATGCCTGGCAATGGGCGACTTACTCACTACTTGTTTAAAAGAAACGATTTTAGTTACAATACTTGGTTGGTCGTAACGTCTGATATGCGAAAGATGTTGAAGGGATATAGGTACTTAAGTACGCCGGGATTTCAAAAAGGCTTCAAGGAAACGCCCTCTTATAAAAAGGAAGTTGGGAACGGTCGCGCGTCCATGTTGTGCAAATAGACGCATGCAGTATAAGGGGAGAGAACAATGCAACGTTGGCGCTGGATCGGTTTAATAACGGCTAGTCAATGATGGACAATCATGATGACAATAATGGGTTGTTGGGTAAAGTTTGTGACTATTTCAAGACTATTAAAACCACGACTGGACAACATATATACCGCAATGACGCGTATTAACTTTAGACTATTTTAATACTTCACAACAGATATGGGGATATTTTGCTCACGTCATGTTTTTATTGGTGAGACGTTGTTCGATTAGAAAAATCGAAGTCTTTAAATCTCGCTGAAGTCTATCTAATTCTTATAACCTAAGTGAGATGATTCGCTGGAATTGAGAAAATGGTTGAATTCATGATTCAACTCATCTTGATAAACGTTAACGTTTTATTATACAAATAATTCATGTAAAGCAATTGAGTCTTGACGTGGGGCCAACATTTATAGATTTATGTATGTTGCTCAATATACCAGACTCCCCATGAGAGAATCAACTCATTCAAATTCTAGGCTGCAAATGACAACTGATACACTCGATATTCGCCATGATGTTAATAGTTGTATGCTTTACAGGCTGCTTATTCAAAACTTTAGCAAATGCAGGCCCAAATCCAACTTGGAATTTTGCGTCAAGAAATTACCGAGGCAAGCTGCATGACTTGAATCATTGTAGACTGTCTGTCGCCTATTCATCGGTAATTTCCTGAATTTGACTTAATTTTCTATAATTCGAAGATTCGCGGATGCAACTAATCGTGCTTGAAATTTACTTACAAACCGCATATTTTTAACAACAGACAATAATCTAAAAAAACTAGCGTATATATGTTTACGTCCATGGGTAAGTACACGAAGACAATTAACAATGATGACTGGCGCTCAGTTTAAAATAAATATGTTCTTGAGCAAGAATGTCATCATTTTTCTCGCCAACAATGTATTTTGTAAGCATACGCTATTGCTTGTTGCTTTGGTAAATATTCTCAGGAAACGAAAGGCGAATTCTATGTGTGTGTAATATTTGGCTATAAAAACTGTGTGGGTGGTATACGGACATTGTGTATACAACATGACTTTACCTACCCCGTTACGAGCCAAGTACACACTTTTATCTTTACCACATCAAACAATATTAACTGCGAATATTATTTCACGGCTTTGCACAACACAAGTAACATGTGAGCTACATGCTTGTTGATGAATTTTTCTATATATTCTTATTGCTCGTGTTTTCAAATATTTAGGTGTAGAGACTCACCAATGCGTGGCATGTATGATTTATGAATGGTAAAGGGGTAACCTTTCTTACATTCGAGTCCTATTTTTACAACATGTCCTCAGTGGGAGTGCCAGTCGCGTCAAAATACATTATGCCGTAAGACAAACAATAGTTATTGTAATTGGCTCAGACTCTCTTTGTTTATTGTGTATTTAAGCAGGTCGCCGTCCCGCGTTACAATACCACTGACCGCGAGATTCGGCCAGACTATAGCGATATTTTTACCAACATTACTCACAGTCTGAGTTATATTTGGTATCGCACGTAGAAAATCCAATACGCGGCAAATTGGAGCGTAATTTTGTACCATTACTGTAACCCAATAGGCTCACCTCTCCTTTACGGAGTGTGCGAGTCCTGATCCCACGATAATCCGGCTCAGACATCTGAAATTACACCCGTCACAGACTCCATTCATTGTTCAGTAAAATATGACGTCATAAGAGTGAAAGTTCAAACTCGATCTTGAACATTCTTGAGGCGGAGGCAATTTACATAAATATATTTTGGCCAAAATTAAAATATCATCAGTACGTGAAATATTTATTTTGAGATATTTTGCAATGCGCAGAAAACGAAGACAAGACAAAGCGATAAATAAGCAAGATAAAAATCTTTCACGGTCCGCTTTTTGTTTTACCATTGTCTGTGACGTCATTGACGGCGGTAAAATTTTCATTTGTAAATGGGAAAGTTGCAACGCGTTCAATTGTCTACATTCTACATGAAAATGTCATCACTATATTTAGATTTTGAGTCATCTAAGATAACCGAACCCTTGTTATGGATTTGTTTTGACGATAGACAACGAGCTTCAGTGGTACTCACAATCGATGGTAAGTAATTATTTGTATGACAGCTGCACGTCGTTTTTAAAGCAAAATATACTATTAATATATCCCCAGTTTTAAATAGGTTTACCGATGGAACTGCGCGGCACAGGTTTTCCCTCAACCGGTAACAACAAATAAGGACGGCGGTAAAAACGAGTTGCTCCAAGTACATTTATATATATATATATATATCCAGAAGTGGGATTCAATTTTTTTGTCAGTCGGTTCTATCACAACAGTCATA